GCTAGTGAGACAAATAATGTGTGTGTTTTAAAGCATATTCATTAGGCAGTGAAGTCCTCCTCTGTGCGGTCAAAGTGCAGAATGCCATCATCCAGACCAAAGAGGTCAATAAGCCCCGACAGGCTGGCCTTTCCTCCCTCTATGGGGACATCTGATTGGAGCTCATACAGAGCAGCCTGAGCACAACTCCGCCACTTGTCAATCAAGGTTTGGAGCTGTGTTAAATCATTCTAGGATGAGAGAGAGAAGAAAATGGCCGCTTTCAGTCTAGTTAAGCAAAACAAATCCCATTACATTCATGTTAGGAGCAACCCAGATAATTTAAAGGGAGCCTTATACCTTGCTTCTGTACATTTGAACCATCCTGAGTCTGCGCAGCTTCTCTGTCTTGTCTTTCACCTCCTTCCTCAGTTGGTCTCGTCGTTGTGCAAAGTCTGTTGAAGGAGGATCGGGACCGGGTCCAGAAAACTTTTCACTCCCTGATCTCGCTTGATTTCTTTTTACATCAACCTCGGGCACGATCAGTGGAGGGTTATTAACGGTCTCCCGGGACTCTGCTGAAACTTGTCGGCCATCCACCTCCTCATCAACACAAAGGCGTTTGGCCACAGAGAAGGGCGAGGTGAAGGAGCGCCTTGATCTCTTCAGCCTCTCCTTCAGTGAGGAACTCAGCTTCTGAAGATGCTGCGGAGATGACAGTGAATGAATTATAGGTCACACAGTATCTACACAGGAACACAAGAGTAGATGTTAGATTATATGTAATCAATTTTAACACAACATACAATCATTTTAAGGTGATTTAACCCGGCTAGGTAAAAGGGAGCAAACATTACAGTAAGTTAACCTGTCAGTTAACAAAGAGCACTTCCACCTACCTTTTCCTCTCTATATTCACAGGGGCTGGACTCCACTGAATTACAGGGTGAAGAATACACAGATTTTAATTTGTTTGCTTTAGGAGTGATCTCCATCGCCGAAGCTTACTTTGACTCATGTAAACTAACGTTAACGTTGTTAGTGCTGTGATACAATAACGTTAACGTTACCAAGTTAGCCTAACGAGTAACTTATCAGCTACAGTTAGTCACATAGTGTTAGTTTCACCTCAGCAAACACGAACACTTAACCAAACGTAATAGCTAACGCTTTCGCAACAACTACCAAACAGATACGCTGACTAAAATATAACGTTAAAACTGTGGAGAGAGATTTTTCTGTATTTCCTTATTTTTGCGGCTCAAGAAAACCTCCGCAGTCAGCGATTGGACAGAATTTTATGACGTCTTACCGAGGAGGATCTTGGGCGCTGTAGTTGTTGTTGGCTTTTTGCGTTAAGGCACAAACCACAACTTTAAAACTCAATATTTCCATGTTATTCATACCTAAAACCCACACAAGGCCCCACCATCTCTCTCTTCTTGTTTTATACACATATATACTGTGTGATACACATCAGAAATCAGAAACAGCTTTATTGCCAAGTAGTTTTTACACATAGAAGGAATTTGCTTTGGTGACTAGGTGCGTAACAATAGACATAAAGTAATTTGCTTATTACAACACATGAGTAAAATATATTTGTGGTAATAATTTAAAAGTGGGAATTAAAGAAAGACACATTTATCCAACTGGATTATTTCACAAAATAAAGTGCTCAAAGGAAGTAAAAGCAAAACAGGTTGAGTGTTGGAGCTGTGTTACATGGTTGCCCATGTTACAGGGGTTGAGTCATGTTGTGATTCAGCTCTTCTCATCAGTTGATTCATCTCTATTAAAGTATTTATTTAACACTCCTCCAAGGTATATGCTGATGTATTCGGCATTTGTTCAACATTGAGACTTGTGCCGATATATTTTTTAAAATTGTGTTTTTCTATAGCCGGGAGGAGAAAGGTGTGAATTAAAACATGATCCTGCCTAGACTTGAACATCAGTACTTGGCAGTCAGATGTCACACACCCCTGGGAATGGGGATTTTTTAAACATTTTATATGGATGAATCTTGCAGGGTTGAGGGTTGGAGATAATTACTACATTTGAGTCAGGAGACTGTTTTCTGTGCTTATTTTGAAAATCTTTTGGACATGAACTACTGTGCTTGTTCCTCGGAAATATATAAAAAAACATGAAGTAACTGTTGCAGTGGTGTGAGTCTATATCTAGAGGCTGTGTGAGAGACTGAGAGAGGACGCCAGCACTTTCAGCAAATGCATGTGTGAATGCTGGGCACTCATAAATATGGCCTCATGTCATGTTTGTTCAGGTTATGTTTTCCTCTGCAGTACTAGGAAGAGGTCTTAAATTAAGTTTTAAACACAATGGATTCTTGACATGAGCTCTTCCTATGGAGTCCCATTTCTAGTGGAGGAGATGTAATTGTCCTGTGTACCAAGGCAGACCGCAGCGGTGTCACTTGATTGTGTTTGGTTGAAAGTGGTGTTTTGTAATTTGGGTTAGTAGGTTGTTTTGATTTCCGGTTGTTATTTTGCATTATCTGTTATCTCTGTGTTGGAAAAGTCCCTTTTATGTGGTGCTAATGTAAACAAACAGTCTTCCTTATCTTCCAGGCACGGCCACAAATTTACCTTATAATACATAAAATCTGAGCAATGTAAAGAGCTTTCAAAATGGCCCAGTGATTGTTGTGCTAGTTGGATGTTTGTCATTATTGCACATCATTTCTGAACATCCCTCTGAATTAGAGATGTGTTTTCTTTCATGGTCAAAGAGTAATTATAACACACTGTGTGTTGACTACGTAAATCAAAACTCACATTAAAAATAATTGTTTTATATTTTGGAAAGGACTTCTCTCAGTGCCTGTCAAGCTCTCAGTCCACTTTTATCTGTGTTATTTTATTTATACGATGAGTATATCATTAATGTTCTTGGAACAAATTATGAATTTCTAATAATTGTTTTGCCAATCGACAGAATCTAATTGTTTCAGCTCAAGTTTTCTACTTGACTATAAGAATCTGAATCAGCTTCATTGGCCCAGCATGTGTACACAAACAAGGACTCTGACTCTGGTTTTAAGTTGCTCCCCACTTCCATACAGCTCCAAATTACAGGTAGACAGAAATAGACAGCTATAAAAACAAGGACTAACTAAGGACTAACTAAGTTGAAATAAACATAGAACTAAACATAGACAGGGGTGGTGATGGTGCAGTGGAAAAGACACATGTCTGGTGTGGGAGACCTGGGTTCAATTCCCCATGACACATCCACCAATGTGTCCCTGACACTTAACCCCTAGTTGCTCCAGAGGCATGTGACCTCTGACATACTTAGAAATTGTAAGTCGCTTTGGATAAAAGCGTCCACTAAATTAATAAATGTAATGTAGAACTATTATGCACATACAAGTAGGTGAGTGAGAGTTTAAAAAAGAACAAAATCATCTGAAGAGCAGGTTAAAAAAAGAAAGCGTTAACTTCCTCACCAAAATTTCCCTGGATCACTTTCTCTAAGCCACGTATCCAGGTAAATAAACACAATAAAATAAATAAATAAAAGGTCTGCAGCTGCCTCTCCTTTGTCCGACCACACACAAAGAGCTCCCCTGCTGGAATTCATTCTCTGCTGTTCTTTCTAAGGAGAGATTTTTACCAGAGAGGTTTACCAACTTAACTTAGAACAAAGTATCACATCCATGAAAAGGTGAACCTCATGCTTTGTCTTTTTAAACATGCCAGAATCTCAGTTCAAAGGTGAACCAGTCTGTTGAGTTTTATGTATTATTTATCGTTAACAATAAACAAGTGCTGCCTGACTGAAGGGAAATGATGCCTGCAGAAGATTTCAGCAGACCCTTTGATAAAGCTTCCTTCAAAACCCACAGAAACAATATATCTATTCCAGCAGTTCTTGTAATGTAGCACAGTGAGTGATGTTTTCTGGTTTACCTGAGGATAACTGGTGGTTTCTTTATAACACCCTGCTGTCATTTTCACAGTGAATCATTAATGTCTCACATTATCTTTATAAACCTCGAATGAGTATGTTCTTTGCAATGTGATGCACCTCTCTTGAACTTCACTCTAGACCTAATTTGGGCACCTTTGAAAACTGCTGCCCCCTTGTTCCAGAGAAATAATCTGTGAGGCTGTTGGCCTCAACACTGTGTCCAAAAAGGCTGCACAAGCCATTCGGCTCCTTTTTTATTTTTTCACCACCCTGGAATCTGTTGTTATAAACCAGCCCCTTTCCTTTGGATATGGCATTATTCAAGCTTGCACATAGATGTGAGTGGAGCAGCTCCTCCTCCGCTACACTGTCCTTGGGGCCATTAGTTTTCCATCATTGAGCAGATTGGAGTCATGCTTGCTGTGAGTCATGCAGGGTGGGTGGATGTCTACACAGGGTGTGGTGGGTGAAAGGATCCCACTGGCAGCCCGCAAGCGCCAGTGGAGGAATAAAGCATCCTATTTGGCTCAAAATTGCAGAAATGCAAATGAATGGATAGAGAAGTTTTATTATGATCATGCAGTTAAAAACAGCTCTATGGATTTGGTGCTGGTGGTGAAAACTGACACTGCCCTCTTCCTCAGATTATCAGCAGTATCAAATTCCTAATTGAGACAGGAAAACAGACATGGATCCTTTAACAGCTGCACAAACATGCACAACAGCCTTTTGAGCAAAGACCTGCAAGTCGGTTAAAAGTAGCTACTTTGACAAGTATATTGAGAATTGCATGATGCGTTTTGCCTTAAAAAAGTGTTTGCACATGTGGTAAAATGCTGTTTGGTTATGTAATAACACAGTGGCTGAAGCCATATAGACTAAATGTTCTGTTTCGACTTCCAACGTGCGCACCAGATGTGTTCCAGCTGCAAAAGCATGGGTTTGCTGCACACAATAGATTAGCAGACACTGAGAAGGCTGCACTCCTACAGTCCAAAAAAAGAAACAAAAAGAAAAGACCCCACCCCCCCCCAAATCCCCCCCCCACCCCTACAAAAAAAACGTTGCCAGTTTTCAAAAAGTGGTGAGGTAAAGCAGAAGCAGCAGAAGGAAGAGTTCATCACGTATCTTTTTTCACAGTCGACTGTCTGTCTCTGCAGAGGTGAGACTGGCAAGTTAATTGGTTCCCTCAGGCGCTGTTTTTTTTTCAACTTCTTTTTAAAATCCAGCTTTTCGTGCCGTCTACTACACCTGCCTGCCAAAGCGCCAGTGCTGATGGGCGCGGCTGGGACCGGTGCCCAAATCAGTGTTTTGACTTGCCTGGGAAAGTTGAGCGAAAAAGGCACAAAAGAAGCGAGGACTTTGAGAACATCCCACCGCGGCGCGTCAACTTCATATAAACACATTATACTCCTCCCGTGGATCAGTCGGTCCATCTTGAGAGGAGTCTGGATTTGATTGATTGTTGCTGGAATTGGCTGAAGGTATGGATTTTTAACAACATAGCAGGAATAACCAGGAGACTTGTTGTTTGTATGCTGGATGGTGCGGGTGTTTCTTCCCACCTGGCTGTTGCATCTCTGCACTAACAACTGCACTCTGGGAGTTTGGTGATGGTCTGTCAAGATATTTTTTGGGGCTATTATAGTTTGGATTTATTGGCTTTGTAGGATGGAAGCTGCAAAGTCCTCTATATTCCTATTAAAAAAAAATACAAGTACTTCTGAACTAGTCTCTAAAACCCAGTGGCGTTTTTGGGGATCACTTTCCATCTGGTGATATCTATAAAATTAGTCTGTTATAGTGATCTCAGGATAGTTTTACATGTTCTTTTGCTGTGCTATTTACATCCCTCTAAATATAAGACAGGACCTGGCCTTTCATAGTTGCTGTTCAGATCAGTTACTGGCTATAACAGAGAGATTTTACAAGCTATAATAAAAAGAAGAAGTAGATGTAGGCTGTTGAGAGATAGGCTATTTGTTTAATGGACTTTCACTTAATATTGTACTTTAGTCTGAGCTTAAAGTGGAAAAACATTAATGATTTCAGATTTTGATTTCAGTAACCTAGGCGATGAGGAAATTTCACCTTTAAAAATGTTGTATCTGTAAAACTGTTAAATCAAAGTGTGCAGTAAACCAAGCATATGCAGTTAAACGTGTGGCAGGGTGTGGTGAGAAGATGGCTTGTCAGAGCTGTGCAGTGATCCACTGGTCTCTTTTGTCCTTTTGTTAGTTTGGTCTAACAAAGTGAATACAATGTCTATTGAGATCTATAGATGATGCGTTATGGCTTCTGGGGCCTTTCTCACCATTCAGATGAGATTTAATTGTCTGGAAAGTTACCTGTTTTTAAACACAGTATGGTTGATGTCTTATATACCTGATCTATCTTGGTCCTACTGCAGAATTCCTGTTTTTATCAAGATCATTAAAGCAGGAAATTGTGTTGCTGTTAGATTGTGGCTTTTAAAATATGATCATGAGACTGATGTGATGACATTTTTCTCTCTTCTGTGGCATAAAATTTCAAATTGATGCAGTAAACATCTGATACAAGCGGCCTGGTCTTTAACCCAAATCATTCCTGGCATAACTGTTTGACATTTTCCCATCAAATGTTTGCTAATATGCCCCCTAACCGCAGTTGCAACTCAAGGAATAAACAGACCTTTAACGACAGTTGGCACAGTATCTATGCATGAACGTGGTCAACATTTTATCATCACCAGATATGATGGGATGGACGAGTTAACAAGACAGATGGACTTCTCAGGAGGCTTGTCAGAAGAAAAGGGTGAGATTTTTGAATTTTTTTATGAAGTTTTGAAGCTGCCAAAAGACAAAGTAACCATAAAAAACACAAGTTAAAGGGTCAAAACACTAGCCCACTAGGCCAGCTCTGGCCGCGCAAACGCAGTGGAGATGAATTTGATTCTCAAATACTGTGTGTAAACCATCAAAATCTAAACAAAATAAAACAGTTTCCCATTTCCACAGACCTCATTGTGGCATAACATAAAAATATGATCTTTCATTTCAAAGCTTAATGACAGATTGGCTAAGTGTCTGCTTTTAAAGACCCAGAAATACTTGTGCGCTTTTGACTCTCTGTTTTGGGGGGGTTTACTAACACTAACATCTTGGCATGCCTTCACTGGTCTCAGGTTTCTATTTTTGTTCCTCTCTCTCGGGTCTCAGGGTGTAAGTCATCCTTCGGGTTTTCCTCCAGTAGTCATAACTGAGCAGCTCATCTTTTGATGGCGGGGTCAAGAGACGCCTGATTATATGTTTGACGCCAACCTAGACGTCTTGTTGTCCCCTCATTCTTCTCTTGTTTTATGTCACCTCTAAAAGAAAGTTAGTAAACTTAAGTTATGTAACACTTTTCAAATGAGTAGCTACGGAAGAGAGAAAAGAAAGTGAGAAAGTAAGGTTTGACACAATATACAAAGTTCAGGAAGGACTAAAAAAAAGCCTTTTATGCACTGATTCAGCTTCTTCGAGACCTTTTTGGAGGCTGTTCCAAAGTCAAGGAGCAATGGCAGCAAAAGAATGATCACCTTTAGTTTTTAGCCTTGACCCTGAAAAGAACAAATGTCCCTAAAAGGTTGGAGGAGGAGGAAGAAGAGGAGCGAAGAGGTAGTATGAAGAGGAAATGGAATTTGCATTATCTATGACTAAATCCAGTAAAACTCAACAGACTGCAGATGGAGAACAAGATGCCTCCTAGTGGAAGAAGGAGATTATTAGTATTAATTACCGGTTCATTATAGCCATGACATGATTTACACAAACTTTATTTAATGATTTTCCCTAACTTGATATCCAGCAAAGAGTTTAACTGCCTCTAAAGAAACAGGTTTGGGGAGACAGTTTTTGATTTAAGTGAGAAAATACAACATAAAAAAGTTCACAGCACAATTATCAAAGAGTAAAAGCCAAGTTGAGGTGGAAGGTTTATTAGTAACCTTGGAAATAGTAGTTTGACCACAAAAACAAACAAAACACCCAACAGCAAACAACAAGCACAAACGTCCACTTACTGGACAGATTCCAGGGCATTCATGGAGACTGTATATTCTGTACTTTTCACGATAACAACTAAGCCATCTCCATGACAAATGAGTAAACTACATCTGCAAATGAAGGCATTGAGATATGGCTGAGAGCTCAAGATAAAGCAACAACCTGCTAGAGGAGGATCAACACCAACCTGGGAACCCAAACAGTGTTCTTATTAATGGTTTATATTTATATATATTTAAAGCACTATTTAATTATTTGTTATCCATTAACAAAACCATTAGTTATTGCTGACAAGCCCTTTATTAGAAAGTGGTACTGAATTCTTTTACTACTGCACCATAATGGCGGTAAATCCATCCAGTCCCACACTGCCTATCATCAAGTGACATTTATACAACTCTGGAGGTGTAAAAGTCATCACCATGCCAGTCCATCAACACCTGCCAAGTGGGATTAACATATAAAAGTTTGAATAACAAGTAGCTCCCAGGATGATAATTCTCTTTCTTTTTTCCTGCCATCAGTTGTGACCGAATCTGTAACCTCCACGACCAGACTGACTTCTCTACCACCAAGTGAGTGTCTCTTTCATCCAGTCATGCCTTCTTTAATTATTGTCAGTAAACTAAATGCATAATGCAGTAATTATAGCTGAGCAGTTCTAAAGGAAGTACCCGATGAGTAACAGCTTCTCCTTGTTTTGCTGTGTGTCTTCTTGTTGCTAGAGGGAACCAGCGGATCAAATCACAGGAATATGTCCAGCAGTGCTGGAGGGCTGGGCTTGGAGAAGAATGTCTTAACCCAGAACAGCAGTGGAACTTATTTCTCTTCATGTGAGAGCAAATTTCCACTCATGATCCAAAATTAGGAAGTTGTGGCCGTGTGTTCGGACAAGTTATGAGATGCTGCTCTTTATATTTTTAACGCTCATTTTGATTTCTGGGCTTGTGAATCATTATTTTTCACTTGCAGTTTTTAGAAACTTACAGGTAGTGGTGGAGAGAGTATTCACATATTTTACACAAGTAATGTAGTAATACTCCATGACAAGTAAAAGTCCTGCATTGAAAATGGCACTAAAGTAAAAGTGCTATCAACAAAATGTACTTTTAGTATTAAAAGTAAACGTACTCAATGCATAGAGTAGCCCTATCATATACTATTAGATTATTGTGCACAGCATACCTGTATACAATTAGAGCTGACACAGTTAGTTGATCAATTAGCACACTGACGGAAAATGAACTGAGAAACAATTTCCATGATTGGTTAGTTTTCGTGTGAAAATGCCAAACATTATTGGTTCCAGCTTGTCAAATGTGAGAATTTGCTGAATTTTTCTCGTAACTATTATTAATATTATTATTATATAGTTTGTCCAATATTTAGACAGAAACAAATATTGTAAAGGTGTCACTGTGGGCTCTGGGTAACCGTGACAGCGTTTCTCACTAGTTTTCTCACTTTTCTAAGTTTTACAAACCCAACTATCGATCAATTGATTAACTGAGAAAAAGGGTAATGAAAAAATCATTAATTAGTCCTAAGTAAGTCCTATATAAAATACTTAAAAGCTCCACCTCAGCTGTAACATAAATTTTGTCTGCATTGAGGATTTTTACATTTTCCTGATAACACACACTTTTTCTTAAGTAGCATGTTTCAGGACTTTTACATATATGGAAGTATTTTTACAGTGTGGTATTTAACTTAAGTAAAGGATCAGAATATTTCCTCCACCACTGCCCATAGCTTCCTGTTATTTGATAAAAAAGGAAGTGATATGTAACTATAAATTCATCTAAAAGTCAGCTTAACGTGCAAAAATCTTAAATTTGTCTGGCCGTAGCCCAAACATTCATTCAACAACTGGAGAGTAAAGTTTCCAATAATAAATCAACATTTACTTGTGTTTTAATGGATCGTTTTTTGCTGTCATTAAGATTCCAAATCAATGAATGTTTATAAACCCAACTCATCTACAAGAATACCTGTCTCAGAATGTCGTCTATACTTTCCCTTAATATGTACAAAATTACATAGATCTTTCTAGAAAATTCCTAGAAAATTATTACCAAATACCGGGACTTGTAAAATAAAACATCACCACTAATATAAAATACTTTGTATAGTGTTGGTTAGTTTAATCTATAATAATGCATCATACTCTCATCATAAGTTTTGTGTGTAAATTCACTACAGCTGTCAGATAATCGTAATACAACAAAATGTTTCCCTCTGATATGTAGGAAGAGTGTGGAAATGAGCTACTCGTGTAAAATTTGTACTTGAGTAAAAGTATTTCCACTACTGCTTATAGATCATATTTGTGTTTGTGCATTTGCCCTGTGGAGAGGAAATCCAAAATAAATTGTATGCATTATCCCCCAGCCTCTGTAGGTGTGAACACCAGTAGCTACAGCTCCTCCTCAGGGGTTTACCTCGGAGGAGACTCCTCAGGAGTTGATGGCGGGGGGAGCTACATAGACGGAGAAGGGTACGGAAGTGGAGGAGGAGGCAGAGTCGGAGGCAGTTATCTTGTGAGCTCGGTGTCAAAAGTCAGGTCCAGCTCGTCGGGTGGTGCCAGGAGAGCGCAGACTGCTGGCTTGTCAGGAGGCCTGTCGCCAGGTTTCCGGGAGAGGAAGAACATATCCAGCCGTTCGGGAGGATATGATGGTGAGATCCTGTTAATAAAAACAAGCGCTGCACAGTTGGCATCAGGGGTGTCTGAAACAGAAGCTTGTAAAAGTGAAGGAAATGTTAGTGCACGAGGGTGCCGTCAATGTTTCTGCTGCTTATGTGTTTTCTTCCAGGGAGTTCCAGTGCTAATTCCTCCCCTGAATTTACACGCAAAGATTATGGAAACTATTGTAAGTTAGAGTGACATCTGTACGCCATTAAATACTTTCTGATTACACAATAGTCTTCCAGTTTTAACCCATAGGATATGTCTGTTTGTTTCTTTTCAGGCTCCAGCACCACAAGAGGGAGGAGCGAAAGTAGAGGTATTTAGTTTTCCCCCCTCTTCTCTTAATTATTTCAGGCACCATCTGACTCTGAATTGCTTTATTTTTTATTAAATCAGGATTCCTTTGTCCATTGTGTTGTGATTTTTTTCCAGAGAGCGAGATCAGAGCCAGATTACAAAGTGCCTCCCCCACTGCCTGCAGATGTAAGACCACTTGAGACACATTGATCCATTTGCTGCTGGTTGTGCAATTCCTCATAAAGCAACAAAGCATCTTTATTTGAGCGTCTTCAGTCAAAAAACCACTTGGATAACAAAATATCTTTTACTGCAGGGTCACTTTGAAGCAGCATGTTTTTTTAATTACACTGCTGTCGAATGCTTTGGCTCAGGATTCAGTATATCACGCATAGGACACTCCCCCTCTTCCACCTCTCACATGCATGTTGACCTCCATGAAAATTTCAATTAGTAACACATGTGCAGTTCCCCCCAGACAGCAGGTATGTCTATAGTCCACTAGCAAAAAGAAAAGGGTGAGATTTAAACGATGAGGATCACGGGTTTGTTTGCACCATGTTCATGTTCAAGGGGCTGATTTGTGGTGGCAACAATGGCACACATGAGTCACTGTGTGCTGCACCTCCTGTTTAAAGCAAAACAGTGGAGAGTCGTGAGTTTTTCAGACGCTGTTCGCTCCCCCTGCTGATTAAAGTGAATAACTGCTATTATTAAATCCACATTTTTTAACAGTTCTGTGCCACCTTAACCCAACCTCAACTCCCAAATTTTCTCTCACCACTTTCAGAAGTGGTGGAAGAAGTATTTAGTACTTTTACTTTAAGTAGAAATAGCAATCCAAAGGGGTAATAATCTAAAGTGGAATGTAATTATGTACTTTTACTCAAGCATGCATTTAAGTACAATTTTGAGTTACTTGTACTTTATACTTCCAGTTCACTACATTTCAGGGGGAAACATTGTAGGCTACTTTTTAAACCCACTATGTTTACTTGACAGGTGATAGTTACTTTGAACATAAACTATCCAGCAGTATATAAAATTATATAGTAGTTATGATAAATAGTCCCACCTTGGCCAGCGATAATAATGTATTATGAGTACTGCAACAGTAATAATGATCCATTATTCAATTATAACTCTCTGACTGGAGCCATTGTACCCTTTATACTGCCGCTTTTACTTAAAAACTTCAATAATTCTTTTAACACGGGTGAAAATACTCAAGTAAAAGTCCTGCATTCAAACATTTTACTCAAGTAAAAGAACACAAGTGTTATCACTCACATACACGTATGAATTACGGCCACTGTTTAGATTTTATACTTTTATTTACTGATTATTAGCCTATTGCACTGTGCCCCAGAGACAGCTAACAGACAGCTAACAGCTAAAGTAAGAGAGCTATAATAAGCAAAAGCTTGTTTGTGAGATAGCTAAAACTAAAAGGTAGATTTTCCCTAGCTGGTATCTGCAGCCTAATTGTAAAATATCCATTTTGATCAACTGAAATTTTAGTAATAAGGGCCAGAGCATTTCTTTCTTTTTTTTCTGCAAATGCATTTTGACGACCTAAACGTGCTCGAAAACTCTCAAAACTTTGCACGTTAAAGCAATTTAGACACTCCATACTCCGTAGCAAACAAACTCCTCCTAGAGAATCAATCCGAACTTCAGATTTTTGCTGTCTAATTCTTTCAGTTTTTCTACATATCAAAATGAGGCAGTAGCTAAATCCAATAATGGTGGAGGGGAAAATCTCATTAACTACCATCTCAGCTTTTGACTAGTGACTTTAATGTGATTTGGTATAGTTAAGCAACCTTTAAATCCCATCCTTTAAATGTATTAAATTGTTTGATAATGTATTATATTGAATTCAATATAAATTGTGATGGAAATTCTTGTGATTGAGTCAACTATTATTGAGGAAGAAGTTGTCAGGAAACTCAGGATGTGTCACACAGCATTCAATGTTGCTCGGCCATGGCGACGCATCAGCAGCACATGTGAGAACACAGTCTAATGCCAAATCAGATCTGAAGATTGCCTCTTGGTCCACAATATATTTCCCTTTGCCATCCCACAGAGTCTGTATCTCATACAAGGTCATTCTTTATTGGCTCAAATATGTGTAGCCATCTTACTGAAAGCTTGACCTAAATGCATTACCTTAGTCAGCTGGAGGTCACATGTATTGAATTCTAAGCGGAAATAGTCAATCTATAAACATCTAAATTTGAACACGTACCCCAAACACACTATATCTCCAAGCTTCAGCTCCTATATACTGTAATAGCACATTCCTATCAGTGCAGCTGTCTTGTTCACTAACAGAGAGAGAGACATTGGCACTAAGTACTTCCAGGGTGGCAGAGGTCATACTACTTCTAGATCTGCCAACGACCCTGAGCGTGACATGTATGTGACCCATACTTCACCTGTTACCCACAAAAGGAAAATTCCCTCACATAGATATTAATAGTAGGCGAACAGACAGACACTAAGCACAAAAGAGATACATTTAATTCCTATAAATTATACAAATAGTCAAAATTATGTTTACATTCTGAAGTAATCTAATTAAAATGGACAAGAAAGCTGAAAGAACACATTTGATTGGTAGATTTCCCCCCTTAATTCCCTGAACATTAGCCAAATGCAGACTGCATCATCTGTATTATTAGGCATTATGCAGTTTATATGGCAATGGTTTTTTAGGGGGTAAAATAATTAAAAGGAAGTCATTACAAACTTTCAATCTTTTAACCCCCCATTTTTAAACCCTTTTTGCTGCATTTCACTGCATCTTACAGCTCTGAGCCCACAGGGAAGCTTGTATTTGAGTAAAAAGTACAATATATCTATATATATGACAGATATGCTCATTTTGACTAAACACAGCAGGAAGCAGTTCATCAGCAGCATCAGCTACTTACCGCCGCCTTCTGGAGAAACGCTGACATTTCTCTGTCCTTCATAGAATTTCTCAACTTTTTCTGGCCCAAACACACGCAAAGCACATTTATTCAGTATTTATTCTATTTCAAATACCAGCGTACCATGCAACCTTAACACCGGTAACTTCAACTTGATTTTATAATACAACATATTTTGTTGACATTTAGTGGAGTAAGTGTACCATGAACTTAGAAGTACCGCAGTTTTATTGAAGTATTGTAAAATAATTTAGACTATTTAAATATTAGGTAGAATATTGCAGTATTGTATTTGGTGAGCATTGTTTGTGTGACTGTGGTGTTTCAGGGACGGAGCTGGATGACGTGAAGAAGCTGCTGAAGGGACGCTCCAGCAGCGTCAGCCCCACTCGCTCCTCCAACACCTCCATCACCCTGCCTGTCCCTAAAAAGGCTGGCGTGGAAACCAAGACCATCTCTGTGGCCACTCAGTCGGGTATATACCCTGAAGTTGATGATACATGGGGCAACTTTTTGAGCAATGTTGCTGGGCAATCTTGCTACTGGCAAGTCCGACCATGATTTGAACGGATAGTGGCCGGTGCGGGGCGGGTGGCGGAGTGGTGGGGGAAGGGGATTACGGTAGTAATCTTTACTCATTACCATTGACGGCAACGTTGCCCTGCATGATTGCTCTAAAAGTTGCTCTGTGTGTCATCAGCTTTACACACACAAGCACTCATACAGTAAATTGTTTTAAATGGCCTCAGTTTGTGCCTAGCGTGGATTTACCTTACATTCGAGCCACAGAGCTAAGCATCTGGTGTTCTGAAAGACAAATCCTCTGGGAACCCAGAAATTAACAACAAGTACCACACTTATAGTATTTCCAGAATCCTGAAAAACTCTTCTTCATCTGGATCAAAAAATAGTTTGCCTGTTGCACAATTAAAATGAGAATATCTCCTTGCTCATTTTAGACAACACATATATCAAGACGTTATTATGGAAGTATAAAATAATAGAAAATGACATCAGTACACATAAATATGCCTAACAATTAAAGCTGAGTTTTCGTTAATGTTACACTGATTGAGCAAGGAGATTTGTCACATGCTTGTTAACCATCATCATTTGAATTTAGAAAGTTTGAAAATTTTGGTCAAAAATCTTTATCCTTCTTGTGAGAGAATATTTTTGTGATCCAGATAGACAAAAGTTTATTTCTGGCTTTTTGAGGGATCTGTTGTTGCTTAGTTCTGTGACTCAAATGCAATGATAAACTATTAAACTGTTGTTAGCTTTAAATCAGAGAGTCTTTCTAGATTTTTCTTTTTGTGTCTTTTTTTCTCCTGCAGATTCGTCTTCACTTGGCTCTGGTGTGAGATCATGCCGGTTCCACACCATTGACACATCAGGCCGGTATGATACCAGTCTGACAACTGGCCAGTTTGATACTGGTGTGAAATCGGGCCAGCATGATGTCACTCTGAAATCAGGCCAGTATGATACTGGTCTGAACTCAGGACAATATGACATCAGTCTGAAATCAGGGCAGTATGACACCAGTGTGAGATCAGCCCAGTATGTTGCTGGTGTGCGATCAGCCCAGTATGATACTGGTGTTAAATCAGCTCAGTATGACACCACTGTGAGATCAGCCCAGTATGATACTGGTGTTAAATCAGCCCATTATGACACCACTGTGAGATCAGCCCAGTATGATACTGGTGTTAAATCAGCCCAGTATGATACTGGTATAAATCAGCCCATTATGACACCACTGTGAGATCAGCCCAGTATGATACTGGTGTGGGATCAGGCCAGTATGACACACTGGATGCTACGCATCCATCTTTCTCTTGGTCCACCTCCACGCTGCCCTCCTCCTCCACGGTGGTTGCTGGCAACACCAGCAGCTACACGTACCAAATCGGCACCAACAACATGCCGGGAGGATCCTCGCCGCTCGGCCTCACCTCACCCTCGTCCCTGTCAGGTGAGACCATCCCTTAAATATTACCCGTCACCTGCAGGTGAAATGTGGTCGTGTTGTAATGTAGGAAGGAATATTTTGGTGATGGTTTTGTACTGTGTGTGGACATAAATATGAATGAATAAATATACAAATGAGCAAACAAGCACACTTTGGTACTTACTCAATAGTTACTTAAAAGTAGCCATTATTATTGTTCAAATAATGTGTTTCTCTCATCGTCAAAGCTACAACACTAATATGCAAATCGTGACTTCCTGTCAAAGATTAAACAAAGTTTTAGAACAAAGCCATATAAATAACTTATATATATATATGAATATCTTTAGATTTTTTAATTAATATAAGTGAATTATTCACTTTTATTGTTTTTATTCTGTCATGCTTACATTTAATACAACTTGATTGTGTTACATTTACTACTTAGAGTTTGTTTTATTTTATAACTTATTATCATATAAAATGTTTGTCTTTTTGTGCATCATGTGTGTTTTGTTTTCTTGTTTTCTTGTTTTCTTTGTTTTGTTTTGTGAATATTAGGACAAGTGTGTCATGTTTGTGTTTTTGTAAGATTTTATGTAATTTAATCAAATCAAACCTTACATCTCTGTTTATAGTTTACGGCTTTCAGAATAATCTGGCTCCTACCACTACAAGTGTGCTCACCACCAGCGGAGCTAACGTAAACGCTAGCCTAGGAGGTACAGCCGCATGTTTTTTGACAGTTTCCCCCAATATCTTGACACTCTCAAATATTTTGCACTTAGTAATAATAATACAAAATATCATCTTTATTATATGAGCATTTATCTGTGTGTGTGCTTCTATTTACAGGTTATGGCGTTCAGAAGAATGTGTCAAATGGTGGTGTCACAAGCACTGGAGTCTCTACAAGTAAGTCCACAATAGTATAAATTCCCTGCAGATACAGTCACAACATTTCAACTCAAACTTAAATGATTCCTGTCTTTTTTTCTTTTTGTTGTCAGCCACTAGATCCCAAACTGATGACTCATATAAGAAAGACTATAAGTTCCTGATCTCTGACAAGGAGAACGTTCAAGCCAAGAGGGACACAGATATGCTCATTTTGGCTAAAGACAGCGGGAAGCAGTTCACCAGCAGCAACAGCGTTCAGTTTGGAGGAGGTGAGTCAGTTACTTACCGCTGGAGAAACGCTGACATTTTGCTTTCCTTCATAGAATTTCTCTACTTTTTCTGGCCCCAACCCACGTAAAACACATTTATACAGTATTGACTTGATTTTGAGGCTGTTAATGGACGTGAAGTCCCAGTGATCCCACTGACGAATTGTAAACTATAACAATTTCTGCCTTCTGGTTGTTTTACCCCATCTCAACATTGATCCCACATTTCTGTTTCTTAATGAAAAGGCCAAAGTAGCGTGAAGTGAATTTGAATTTACCATTAAAAGTGTTTAGCTTGTAATGGTTAGCTTTCATAGATCACTATAATCAGATCAGGAACTGAAGTACTAGCACTTTTAAAAGTATTGGTTTACCTCTTCCTTGTCTTGGAGACCTTCTACAAGCAGACCAACGTGCCTATTAACAAGGGTTGACAGCATTCACAATTTTTTCTTCTTCTCTCTTAAAAATGAAGATGTTTTCTTAATTGTATGCACACTTATTTTAATTTTGTTTGCATGCACTTTTTGTCTTTGTTGGTATAGATATATTATATTTGTGTGGTGTTGTTAAACACAATAAATATACAAAAGTTGTGTTTTAAAAAACATTTATAATTTTACAGGGTCGCTGTCAGGAGATTCAATAAAGAAAGAGAAGCTCATTTCAAGTTACAGTGAGACGATGCCGCTGAAGACGGAGACAGGAAACTCTTACTGTGAGCGGTCTTAAAAAACATCTCCAAGAAGAAAAAAGTTTGATTGTGAAATTAAATGACTGATGTTTGTTTATTCCTTAATCAGATGGGTCATCTGGAGTTGTCATGAAAGACAAAGCCACCTATGCAGGTATTTTTAATTTCATGTGTGTAGATTGTTACATGACGATGAACATTTGAGTGTTTGAAAGTGAGGATTTCACTCTTACTCTCTGTTTTTCAGAGATCCACAGGGACAGTGGCATCTTCGGAGGTGGCGGGCTATGCTGCTGCTCTGATGCATGTTGCTCCTGGTGGAAATGGCTGCTGGGTCTTCTCCTCCTCTCCCTGCTCCTGCTGGGACTCCTGTTTGGGCTCATTGCACTGGGTAAGGTCAATGCAGTATACACAACACAATGAGATTCAATAGGGAAAAATAAATAAAAATCTCCCTAAAGATAAAACCTTAGGAGCCATGAGAGACTCTCTGGAGCTGCTCTGCAATCAAGTTCCTGGGAGTGACTATTTTTCAACCAATAAAATGTGTGTTTCAGCTTTTACAGGCTAGTGAGCATTATTTCACACTGCTGCTAAGAGCCGTGAGACAGTAAATGTATTCCTTTCCCTGGAAACCTGATCTCTGGGTACTGTCCCGCTGCCATAAAGGCGGCGGTTTGGCATTCACTGTGAGTGGAGCAGCTCCAGAAATTGTTGCTTGATGACATCAGAGACTCAGAGTTTGTTTTCCTGCAGCAGGAAAGTTGTTGGAATGGATTTGTCTAGATAAAAAAACATTTGCAACCTCTGGTTTGAGGTATTCAATATTCAAATGTGTGTATTAGGATAAACCCTTTGAGATGCAGCATCTCGTTTTGGAGGGGATCCTAACATGTATCACAAATCACAACATAAAAACAATGTAAAAACAGTTATCAATATGAAATATTGAAAATCTAGAGAACATTACAACCAAAAGTTGGCCAAAACTGGCCAGTTCTAGATAAGCAGTAGAGTGTGAGTGGATCACCAAATAAAACACAGTTATAAACTTCAAGTACAGTATATACATAATGTGACAGCTTCACAACAGGAGCAGCGCATCAAGGTAAAAAGACAGCTTCAACGTACAAACTAATGATATGGATCTTATATCATAGCCAAATTCTTCCTATCTGCTGGGGCTTTAAACAAAAAACCTTTTTTTAAAAGCCAGTTGTTTTCTTAGCAGGATGGACGGAGAAATAGAGCTGAGCAGAGTGCCAAACTTACAGTATACTGGATACTGGGTACAGAATACTGTTGTAAGCAAGGGCGTCACTTTGTGTTGAAAAGAGGTGGGGACAAAGGGCCTCAGATTAGATTAGCTCGCGAGACATCACGCTACGCAATATTAGGTTCACAAGAACCAGCCCAAAAGATCCTTAAACAGTGTTTTAAAGATATCCTCAATGCAGAGATGTATGAGTGGGGCGTCTGGGGGGACCTCCCCCAGAAAATTTAGATCTTTAAACACTTTATAACGAACGTTTGAACAATCTTATAATCAGTAGCTTGTTTGTTTTTTAGCTTAAGTTACTTTTTTGGACAATGCACATTTGTTTCTTCTTAAATGTTTTCTTAATGTGCAAATAAACCTTTCTAAAGGCATTTTCATTTGTTATTTAACTGCAAGTGTTTTTTTGTTTTTTTTTAGCAAATTATGCTTTAAAAAGTGAAGGGGACAAAATCAGCCATTTCAAAAAGTGGTGGGGACATGTTACTAGCATCCCCAGTGTAAATGACACCTATGGCTGTAAAGCCAGATAAAGTTAGATTTTACAGCGCTTTGATAGACAGCATCACAATAGTCAGGAATCGGGAGTATATATTGAGAGGCAAGTTTCTTATGGACGCTGTGCGTATAGCAGTTTCAAGATCTATGTAAAATATTGATTCCTAAATTGACTTTACGTAAGACACGATCAATGCGTGATTTCAATGATAGTTCAGAATCAAGATATTTAATTTTAATTTTAATTTGATCAGCTTTCTGCAGAGCAGCATGCCGTCCTTACAGGTTATTATTACACAATAACTAGGTATGGGTTTGAGTTTCTGTCTGGTATCATAAATCACAAGATAGGACTTTGTTTTGTTTTGTAGGAGCATGTACACTTCAAAACCTGTTCAGCAGTTACTGACTGATTTTCATATAGTGTAGATTATTGTGGTAAAAGGATAGACACAATAAGTTGAATATGAATTGAACAGAAACAAGGTTGTGAACTTGTGAGTCATAACTGAGTCAAATGTGAACACAAAGACATGATACATATATTTTTTAGATTCAGTGTGGCATACACTTTCCGAACACATTGTTATCATGATGTCTATAGCTAATAAACGTCCAAAAATCTGCTCAGAAATCACAGAAGACGACACTTCTTACAACTCCAAAACATGCCTCAGAATCATCACGTTTTAGTCAAAGTAATACAGTGCTAGTTGTCTGTACATCCATTGCAAACAGGGACTGTCAGATTTGAAACAAATATCGGCTAAAAGTTGTTAAAATTTTAAGCTTGTCTAATTAACCGACTCCACAGTAACATACTTTCTGTTGGGCAGTTGTCAGACTTTGCTCTGTACCAAGGTTTTCATATTTTTACAGTAATGTGTTTCTTGAGTGATCTGACAGAAGAGATCAGATGTGTTACTTTGACTGTTTGGCTTTAGCTAATGAGATTTTGGCAGTATGTGGTGGGAAAAGGTTAGCGACTACTGGACTGCAGAACAGGCATAAAGATACTATTCAGAGAGACTAACTAAGGGTAGTAGTGAACTACAAGCTAACTGGATACCCATTAATTTACACACTAAAGTTAACATTACCTTACACATTAAGTAATGACAATGTGGGTTATTGGCCTTGATCAGTGATGTATCTAATCATTTACTGTGTTATTTTTTATATTTAAATATAGTGTATATGTCTTGATGTCAGACAGCTTTTTTTCTATTTTGTTTTGAACAGCTGAATGTTTGCCTTGTTTTAGCTTTATAAGTAGGATGTCTTGTTATTATTTTATTAATTAAATAATATGGTGTTTTCCTTACACTGTATATAAAATATTTTTAAATACACCTCCTGCCTCATTCAACAAGAACTGGTTATATAGTTATATCCATTATTTCTATTTTCCTTTTGAAAATCTGCTGAGAAATTCAGTTGATTGAAAAGTCAGTCTGAATGGTGCATTCATGTGCATTCATTTAGATCGGAAAAGTGACTTTCCTGAATGCAAAGCTATTATAATTATAAGATTAAGAAAAACAATAAGAAACTTTGTTTATATTCCACAATTGCATATATAAATGCATCATAAAGTCCTTTACATATAAGCATACATACATATAATGATAAACATATAATCATGACATTTACATTGAAAGAAGGAGAAATTCTGTACAATATCAAAAAGCTGAATGAGACTAATTTCTTATCGCTGTCTAAACGTGCGCTTCTTGTATGTGCATCTTACCAAATGTCTCTTCCTCAGCTGAGGACGTGAGAAAGCTGAAGAATCGCGTGGCCACCCTGGAGGCCTCGACCTCTGTCTTAAATGCTGAGACCAGTCGACTGATAGACAACAGAGTCAATACTGACACCGATGGTACCGACTTCACTGAAAACACTTCTCTTCAGACGACGATCCAGCAAATCTTAAGAGCTGAAATGCAATCACAGGCATTCAAAGGTACTGCACACACACCCCCCACCCCCACGCACACACAAACACATACATACACATGTTCATGTTCACTGAACTGTTGTTTCCCATCTCAGGTTTACTAGTATCATCAGTGCAGGGAGAGAGAGGACTTCCTGGACCTAAAGGTAAAATTTCATTTTACTTTTACTTTTTCATAAAATCTAAACATATACCCTTTTTTTTAGGCGTGTTTAACTTATGTTAATTTATGTTTCTTTTATATTTTTTTCAGGGGACCCTGGAGCTAAAGGTCGCGAAGCAAAATCACTTACTGCTAGAAATCTTTTTCAGATGTTTCAGTTGTAACTCTATTGGTCTGTTGTTTGTCAGCTACTGCGTACTCTCATCATAATCAAATGTATGTTTCACTTGTCACAGGAGATTCTGGTTTCACTGGACCTCCAGGTGAGGAAGGATTTTCCTTGAGTCTTTAACAGTATTTTGTGTTTTCTTAGGACTATCATGTATAATGTAATTTTTCTGACTGTGACGTTTGACCTCAGGTGCTCCGGGCCTGATGGGACATGCAGGCCCCGAGGGTCCGAAAGGACAGAAAGGAAACCAAGGTACACAGGGTGCTTCAGTTCAAAATACATGATGCAAGTACACTGATTAGCTCATTTACAATGACTGTGTGTTATATCTGATCAGGTGATCACGGGCTGGATGGGCCGCCAGGTATGAGGGGTCGTGAGGGCCCAGCTGGCCCCAGAGGTGAGCCAGGACCTTCAGGCTTTGGAGCAAAAGGTGAAAGAGGTATGGCTCAAATTCCCAGCAGTAACAGACCTTCATTAAAACAAGAAATACCCCATGCACAGCAACAACAGGTGGCAGGATTCAGCAATGAAAAATCAAAAACATGCCACTGAAATGACTTTACTATGTTTATTGTGAACCTCGAGTTTCACCTATGGCTTTTTCAGGTTCACTCAATGCTTTATTAGTGATACTAATAACACCTAGTTTATTTACATTCCATCACTACAAGATCTTGTTTGTTTGGTTTATGCAGGTCCTCCTGGAGATCCTGGGGTTCCTGGGTCTGTGGGATCTATTGGACCAAAAGGTGAGATCATTGAACAGAACTTCAACAAAACAAAAACATCTAACTGTCTAATGTTTTTATCATCAAAGTACCATTGGTTTCAGTTGTTGACAAAAGGTGCATCTGTAACAGTTTATTACCTCATGGTGGATGAACTACAAACATCACCAGGTGGCAGCATAGAGTCGCCTCCATGTTGTTCAGTGAAAAGCAAAGAAGATCACTACCTTGACATAGACATAAAGTAATTAAGAGTAAAAATGTCTCAAATGGTGAAAAATTAAACATAAACAATTTTCATATTAAATTCTTGCTGCTTCTTTTTTTGGAAAACACCATATCACAGACGTTTGACCACATGTTCGATGTGAAATTGGTTTGTTCTGAAATGTTTTATGATGGTTACTTAAAGTACAAGCACAGCAACAGCCTTAATTCACTGCTTCAGTAGCACCAGTGCTTTGCAAAATTATGTTTTGTTTCCCACCCCTCCTCGTAAAAAAATCATTAACTCTCTAATTGTCACCCTAAACTTCACTAGTGTCCTGTTTATAATCGGAAAAGTAACTCATTTAAGGTTATCAAAAGAAAGGTTAAGAAAGAAACACACACACAAAGTGCTGATTGTGACTTTAGATTATTTAGATACATTTTAGATAATGAAGCATTTCTAACACTTTGTATCAGATGTAAGTATTTATGTATACAGTACGCTCTACGATCTTTCCTGGTGCATTGATGTAAAACAGTGTGTTGGGCTTCATTGTATTAGGAACACATTTCATTCATATATTATTTTTTATATTTTATTAATTTGAAAGTGTATTCATTTGTTTTTCCTTTTGTTCTGCTGTAGGCTATTACAATTATTATATATATATTTTATGTTAAAATATGATCAATTGGGGATTACCAACACTGCATGGATGAATTAATTTCAGTCAGTAATGTAGCCTATAAAAAAGAAAGAAAAAGTGCTATTTTACTGCGTCTTTTGGGAAAATATAACATCACTGTCAATTCCCAGTTTTACACTCTTAACTATGTCAGTTTTTAATTCCAATGTTAGCTTTTTGTTTATGTGTTTGTTTAGCATAATTCAAGGTGCCCAGATGCTTTTATAATCTTCTTGTTAAACAGTGGTTTTCCTTTTTAATAATTCTTATAATGATAATCTTTGTTCTAGGCCCACCTGGACCTCCTGGGCTTTCTGGACCACCAGGTCAGTTTTCCCTGTTATCATTCAGTACAGTGATTCCAGAAACACTTTTTATCTCAAATTTACCAGCACCAACTGAAAACAATGTTAGTGGTGCTTTTACTTAGTCCCTGGGATTTGTTTTGTTATAGGCCAACCAGGTCCTCAGGGTTTCCGTGGCGAACCAGGCCCACCTGGGACTAAAGGTAGATTACGCGGACATTTGTTCGGTTGCTAAAGACACTGAACTGGTTAATTTAGTTTATTTTATATTCTATGATCTTACTCACAGTTACTCTTCTCGCTCTGCAGGTGACAGGGGGCTTGCTGGATTTCAAGGACTTAAAGGTTTGTTTGTAACTGAATCAGGATTTTTTTAGGACTTGTGGGATCAGTGACTGTTTCTAACTGGTCTAAGTAATGTTTATTTTAGGTGAACAGGGTGACAAAGGTCTCAGAGGTCTGCCAGGTCAGTACAGCTTTGTGAATTAAACTATTTTTGACGCTGACAAATTGGCATGATATGTAGCCTACTAGTGATATGTATAGTTTCCTGATCCAGTTGTCCCACTCCTCAGGTGATTCTGGTTTACCAGGTCTACAAGGGCCAGCTGGAGAGAAAGGAACCAAAGGATCCACTGGTGAGTCACAGGACCTTCAGCCTCAGATAATTAATTGATTCTTGGACACTCAGATTATTGTATTGTGCTTCCAAACTACATTAAACAGCTTGACTTTTGGCTTTCTGGCAGAGAGTTGGATGAGAAGATTAATACCACTGTCATATCCGTTCATGTTAGCTTAGCTTAGCACTAAGACTGGAAACAGGGGGAAACAACTAGCCTGGCTCTGTGTAAACATAACAAAATTTCTGATTTTGATGTGGCAGTAACAAGAGTACATAAAATCCCTCAGGTGATCAAGGACCTCCTGGGCCCCCTGGACTCAGAGGCCCTGCTGGGTCTCCTGGTGATAATGGAATTCAAGGTAAACTGAGCCTGATGTCACTCTTATGAAACTTGATCTTCAGCTTTATTAACCTTTACCATTACCATCGGTGGATAATATGACAAGATATATTCATAATATCTCCCCCTCTGTAGGAGCACCTGGGCTTCAAGGACCACCAGGTACGACTCTAATATTAACACATATTATACTTCTATTATTAATTCTGCCCCTTGGTGTAAATTATTTGCTTTTAAAGCTGACAACACTAAAAATGGACTCACGTCTTGCTTTTAGGGATACCAGGGAATCCAGGACAGCCTGGCCCGAAAGGTATGGCTACTGTCAAGGTCACCTCCCTAGACCTGCAGCAGAGAAATATCACCTGCTACTAATCTGTGCATCTGATGTAACATGTGTCTGTCTGTTTTAGGTGAAACAGGTGAACCAGGAAGAATCATCAACGCAGGTAACAGAACATGACACATTTTATATTTTAACACATTATTGATAAGACTATAGTTCGATATCTGACCATCACTTTTATTTTCCAGCTGGCTCCGCTTCTGTTGGTATCCCAGGACCACCTGGGCCTGCTGGTCCTCCTGGCCCAGCAGGACCTCCAGGATTATCAGGTATGACCCTTTAATGACTGGAAAGTAGCCAGAAGACCTTGCATCTCAGCCCTGAATAACTGCACCATGTCAGTAGTTGCAATACTTATCCTGGTAACGTCAAAGTGTTGGTGTTTCTTTACTTCCCTCCTCAGGTCCCATTGGCCCTGCTGGTCTGCCTGGCCAAGCTGGTAGGTCACCATGCTTGTTTTGCTCCCAAAACAAAGCTTTTTAGATTGGTTATGTAGCCCTCGGGAGCTCATAGACACTGTTGTTTGTCTTCACAGGTCCTAAAGGTGACAGGGGAGCTCAGGGAGAACCAGGAACAGGGAGAACGGCTGATAGTGTAAGCTCAGACAGAGGTGAGAGTGAGTGAGTGAGTCATACAGTATTTAGAGGTCTGGCGTGTAACATCACACACTTAAAGTATACACTTATAGCAAGACCATGTAACGTTTGAAAGAAAAAACAAGTTACACAATCTTCTTCATAAGCAATAAAATCAGTATACCCAGCTGCAGATGCCACAGCCTTACTTGGTCTGGTATCACCAGTAGCATAAGGTGGCTAATGCTAACAAATAATAAAACTGACATTACACACTTCTCTATTTGTGTTAACTTCCATGCTAGCGTTTACCACTATCCTGTAAATGCCTCAGATGTTACAACAGGAAAGCCCTCTCTACTGATCAGAATAATCAGAATACTGTCCATTATTTAAAACGTTGTGTTTTTGTTTCAGCTTCCAGGCTGTTTGTTGCCAGTGATGCATCAGGAAAACCCGGCCCGCCCGGCCCACCGGGTCCTCCTGGACGTCCAGGTAAATAAGACGCAACATGTCCTGCTGCAGCGTGAGCAAAGACTTCAATGATTTTGCGGGATTTGTTTGACAGCAAAGGAGAATGACCACAGTCAAACTCACAATGTTCTTTAAATTGCGTAACTGACTGTTGAATGTTATTTAGGAGATTCAAGACAAGGACCTCCAGGACCGCCTGGGCCTCCAGGTCAGCCAGGCAAGTAAATCCACTAAGTCCAAAAATGGACTCTGAGACGAGCGGATCATGCGGTGTGTTTGTTTATTATATGAAGCTCATCCATTATTTATATCAAACTTCATTTATTTCTCTGCTTTGTAGGTTATGGAAGACCAGGACCCAAGGGAGACAAAGGAGATTTTGGAGGCTTTGCATCCAACTCTGGTATGATCCTAAATCTAAATCTGCTGAACCTAAACTTGTGCTCTGTCTTGATGTGGGTTACATGTGTAATTAGCAGAAAACAGAAAACATTTCAACACTGCTCTCCTCACAGGCACGTATTACACCGGACCACCAGGACCACCTGGACCAGCTGGGCCTTCTGGGCCTAAAGGATCAGCAGGTGATCAGATTTTGTGAAGACAAAATGCATCATTTAAAGAATTCTTCCTTTCTCTCAGTTTTAGTTGCATTTTATTACAACATCTCCATCACTATTTTAGGTTCTCCTGGACCAAGGGGATACCAAGGTAAGGTGTCTTTCTTGAATTGTCACCAAACATTTGTTTTTGTGTTTGCTAACTGTGGTGACTGTTATGGAACAACGCAGATAGTTGTGAGCCTCCCAGCATAAATAATTGCGACATTTCATTTGTGTCTCAGGTGAACCAGGCCAGCCAGGCGCCCCAGGAAGACCAGGAAGCTCTGAGAGGGGTCAGCATCCGAACACAAATCAGACTAAATCACGTTAGAAAGACACACTTACTGTGGGTGTATGAGGAGCGAGCTTAATGTTTAAACGTATATATATTTATTCCTAACAGTGACTTACTCCGGAGGACACGGGATCCCTGGTCCACCAGGTCCACCAGGGCCTCCTGGACTTCCAGGACCACAAGGATTTAAAGGTAAACCTACCAACGCGTCAAACTCTATGAATGCTGTCAACGTTTAATTGTCTATGTTTCAGAGTAAATACTGTATCTGCCTGTGTGAAGATAATGCTTTTGTTGTTGTTTATCATTTCTAAGGGGACACTGGGGCTCCAGGTATTCCTGGTTCTTCAAGAGGTAGAAAAAATTAATTATAAGTTATTGTATTGTTAAAACTTCGCTTTACAATGAAACACAAAGTTGTTTTATCTCAAGTAGTTTAGACGTTAGTTTGAGTCCACATGGCTTCTTCAGGGTCTCCACTATCTGTTTTGTATTTTTTTTCTCAGGCTCCATCTCAGTCACCTCAGGCCCTCCTGGTCCCCCAGGTCCTCCTGGTCCTCCAGGCCATCCAGGCTCCTTTGCTTCTTCTAGTGAGATGCACCAGTACATCACTGACTATCTAAGTAAGTTTTTCCTGAAGCTCACAGGCTGTTGGTAGGGGTGGAGGAGAACATAGTAAAGACATGTTTTATTTGTTCCATGAAGGTAGAAGCAGACTGGCTGTTATCGCCGGACCTCCAGGTCCACCTGGGCCTCCAGGAATCCCTGGAACCTTCTCAGGCTCTATGGAGGACATCTCTACTCGCGTCATTGCATACATACAACGTAAGCCTGTGCTTTTCCCCAGAATGTATATTATTATACTTTTAGTGGAATGGGGGCCAACCTTGTACAACCGTGTTGTGCAATTTCAGGTTCGGGCTCAGGCCTCAGCATTGGTGTTCAGGGCCCTCCGGGACCTCCGGGTCCTCCTGGACCTGGCTCTGGATCCCTGACGGTCGGTGGTCTCATCGCCATGCTTCAGAGTAAGTACAATACAGACACATAAATTACCCACACTGCCCTCTGCATATTTACATCATCTCATTTGACTGTGATGACAAAAAAGTTCCAGCACTTATGTCTCTCTACTGTGATCTGTCTAGGAGACGATGTGAGGAGATATTTGTCAGGACAACCAGGGCCACAAGGACCACCGGGACCACCAGGGACATCAGGAGGAATTTCAGGCAGTTACAGTGCAGAGGAGATAGCCACTTATGTCTTCAACTTCATGAATGGTGAGCACAGGTTGCACTAACAGAACCCAATACCCCCTAAAGTGGTGACTGGACTTAATCAATCAAGTTGCTTTTAATGTCATTTTCAGAAAGAGGCATCGCTAGAGGTCCACCCGGACCACCCGGTCCTCCTGGGCCTTCTGTTGCAGTGGGCTCCGGCTTCACTACCGCTACAATTGACTATTCTGCACTGATAAGAAGTAAGTCATTTTATTTGCGTTCCCTGTTAACAGACGCTGGTTGTTTCACCTGGAGAGTTAATATCACAGCGCTCATTCTCCAAGAACAGAGAAAAGTAATTCACTCGCTTCATCTACTTTGTCTCTTCATCTGCTTAGATTCAGAATTCCGCTCCTGGATTAGCTCTGCCATACAAAGTGGCCCTCCCGGTCCTCCGGGTGTCCAAGGGCTCCCTGGCCCTCCAGGCCCTCAGGGGCCACCAGGAGTCTCCACTGCCACTGTGTACGGGGCAGGAGGTCGTGGCTACAGCTTGGAGGAAATTCAGCGTTACCTGCAGAGTGAGTCTGCCAGAAAAGATGAACATAATGTTTTCTTTCTTCACTAATAATAGTCGTTATTACAATAACAATAAGGTTAAATGAGTCCATATTGAACACACAACTATCCATCCGCAACCTACAACCAACGTTATTGCACTGTTTACAGTACAGCACAAATGAAAATAATGATTACATTATATTTATATATATTTAGATTATCTATAGCACCCTCAAGTAAAATGATAGCTTTAATTACACTTAGAGGAGGAAAAAAATAAGTAAATTCTCATTAAAATGTTTCACGTTAAACATTAATTATCGTCGTAAGTGCCTCTCTGAGAGAATATTTACTGAAAACAGGATTAAACATTTATACGTGGATATCAAAACAAGTTAGAATTTCATGTAAACAACAACCAAAGGCAGTGTGTTTGCAGATGCATATCCATTTTGTTTGCTTTAAGTCACCAACAGGAGGGGAAAGAGAGAGATGCACAGTGCAGCATAAACCCCTGAAAACCATTCTCTAAATGCTCCTGTATCAGCCTTATTGTGACCAATACATCACCACACATACCATGTATACAAAACATTACATTCTTCCTTTTCTTCTAAAATAATTATACAAATAATAATTTTACAAAAGAGAAATAATAAACAGAATATAACATTACAATCCTCTTTTATACAGGCTTTCACCTTAAATTTTTAATGGGTTAAAAGGTTGAATATCCAAATTCTGAATTCTTTCAAACTCACTTTTCAGACTAATCTTTCAAAACAAAATGTTTCAAATCATGTCTGTCACGTAACACATTCAAGTCCATCTGCATTTAGTTCACTTCTATATTACTGTGGTGAGGTGAGAAGATAAACAGCTGGAGGTCAGCACAAACAAGGATCTTAAGGAGTTGTGAAGTTACTCTTAAATGTAACGCAACACAACATCCCCGCATTAAAGCCTGCCTATATGTAGCTTAACATTCAGTTAGATTACAAGTGTTAACTCTCTGGTCTTTGACAGTTGTGTATTTGTCCACTCCCTATTTTGTAGTCTACCATCCCCCCTTGTTAACATCAATGGGGTTGCACAACATTTGACTATAATGTTAAATTGAATTTTTTTCAGGCTCTTCTCAGTTCAGAGGTCTTCCCGGCCCTCCTGGCCCTCAAGGTCCACCGGGACCACAGGGTCCACCAGGCAGTTACTCTGGATCAGTTTCCTACAGTGGAAACTTCCCTCGGGAGAGCATCCGCTCTGAAGTTCAAGAGTATCTAACCAGTAAGCTCCTAACATCGCGCACAGACAGATGAAAGTCGTGTGATCAGTATCTGTAGTCATTTAACCTCCGTGAAACCTGAAGGTGATACAAACTACTTTTTTTTAACAGGTGACAGTGTACGTCGTTCCTTCATTGGACAACCAGGGCCTCCAGGACCAAGGGGTCAGAAAGGAGAGCGTGGAGATTCGGGTTACTTCCAGAGCCACACGCAGAGCCGGAGCTACTCCCAGGGCGACTCTCGCTATGGCTCTGAGCACAGAGAGACCGACGTCAACAAGCTCGCAGAGACGCTGGACTACTCCAGCGTGGCCTTGAAAGTGACTGACTACATCAAGAGTGAGTCCATTACAGCCCTCAAACGTAGAGTAAACTTTTTTGGTCATCCCAACACCCCTCCTTTATTTATAGAACAACATGATAAGTTAATATTACTAAACTTTTTCACTCACATTTTTATATCTTACTTCAATTTGGTAGATATGCTCTAACTGCATAATACTTTAGGGGCGTGCTATTATGGATTCAGTAAGTTATCCTGTGCCCTTCTATTAGTCGATATTGGTTTATACACCATCTACCACTGGATAACTTGGAACTTAAAGGAACTATTTCTTCCACCTCTGATGAAAGAAGTGTAAATCTGTCACTACAATGCTTTGATTTAACAACTCTGCTCTAGATCAAGGCCTGCTGCAGCAGTATCTAGTTGAGGGTCCTTTGAGGACAAATGTCAGAGCGATTCAAGGCCCCCCTGGTCCACCCGGACCTTCTGGACCACCTGGTCAGAGCCGCGTCTTCGCCGCCTATGGCAACATCACAGCTGACCTCATGGACTTCTTCAGAAGTGAGGAGACAGAGTTTTGATTTTCCACATACTGTGTCAGGTTAAAGCTTACAGGAATGGAAAACCATCCACACTTGTAAGTGTAGCTGGAAAGTGTTGCTTCATCACGATTTAATCTGTGCTTCTGCTTTCTGCGCAGTCTATGGCACCATACCTGGCCCTCCAGGAAGCCCTGGACCAAAGGGAGACAGAGGGTACCCAGGACCCAGAGGAGACAAAGGTACATTTAAACAGAGCTGATGAAAGAATTACTGCTTATTGCATAACAGTTTTAGTGGAGCAACTGAATGTTTCGCATGTTTACAGGTGATCCTGGACCCCAGGGTTTACCAGGGTTATACACAATGCAAATTCCACACAGAGTGCAGAAGAGGGATACAGGTAACTTGAGTCAAATGTTCCCAAACCACATAAAAAGTGTTACATACATGTAACTCATCAATACACCTGTTTTTCCCCATACACTGCAGGCAATGAAGTGATTGGTCGTTATAAGAAGCATCGCCGTCGAGCCATCGGGGGCTAAAGTGCTAACATACTACTGGATTATGTCAGAATTTCTTTTTACTCCTTTTATTTTTTAGATGTTCAACTGTAGCGATGCAAGTAGTCAAAATGCTCCTTTTTGTTGCCATGTGTAGAAAAGTCAGAGGACAAATTGAGAAAATAAAAGCGGCCAAAACAATGCATCGGTGTCTTTAAAACAGCTTCAGTAGGATCTAGCTGCTGGTCAGTGTTTCTGTAACACAAGACTTTTATTTGGGGGTGTATTAAGTTTACTTTGCTTAGTTAGAAGCTTGCATTCAAACATTTTCCAGGGGCAACTTTGCTTTAAGAGAATATCTATTTTTAAGCAATTGGCAATTGCTGAATTTTTAAAATTGCACTTTGCATCTTTTCCCATTGCTTGTGTTAGTCGAGTGTCTGGTGTAGTTTCTTAAGTGTTTTGTCTTTTGAGGAATATATTGTACTGAGGACTATATGTGTTACATGTTGTGTCAACGCTTCAGTGTTTCATAAAATGCAATAATGGCAGATTATTCACATAAATCAAGCCAACCTCAGACCCCTGGCTGTTATCCGGTCACTAAATACAAATTATTAAATAATTAACATTTTTAAATATATAAAACAAATGCATCATCTGAACCTGAGAGTCGGAGTGAGGGGGGGATTGGGACGAGGGTTACAGTAAATGTTAATGTAGTCAGGACTGAGGATTTAGTTGAAAGGTTTGTTGGAGACATTAATGGTTGAAAAACAGGGACTCAGATAATGACTGATTGGAGTGTATATTTTTGTATAAGAGCGCACTGAAATTGATATATTTTCTTTATACCTTTAAAAGTGTTGGAAAGATTAAATTATAAAATGTTCCCAGGTTATGTTTTACATGATTAGATTTATTGACATTTGATCAATATATTTGAAAGACACACAAATAAATCTATTTTTTTGGACTTGTGAGTCTTGATATTTGTATGATTAAATAAGGTTTTTCCAGACAGTTACAATGTCAAATAAACAGTCAGTGTTTTATTTACAACAAAAAATGTCCATATAGACACTTGAAATACATTTGATCTGACATCAAATATACTAAGAATATTCACTGTGGTAGAATGACACATTAAAATGCTGTAACTTAACAAAATAAAAAAGTATTTGAAATATATGGTATGGTGTAATTCACAATCTGACACAGTCTCCAATGACCCCAATAAAAATCCAGCATTCATGACAAGTCAACGTTAATGTCAGCGTACAAAAATTATAACATGCATCGCAGTGGCAAAGTAATAATCAGGTATCGTTATCTTAAAGAAGGTCTCTTTTTGTGAACCACCATTACTTTGCTCATAAAATACAGCGAAGGACGTCTCACACGTTGAAACTCAAACGCTTACAGATACGGCATTTTACCTTTCGTACAATACTGGACTCAGCAAGAGCAAAAGCTCAACAAAAAGAGCGATTACAGCATCAATATATCAGGAATACATGTTTAGAAAACTAGATGTGGCCATAAAATACTCAAGGGCATTTGTTTTTTTTTAAACTAAAAAAAGGCAAAATTGTGAGTAAAAATGTTGAAATAATTCAGTCAGTTTGGAGTTTGAATAGACTTGGGTGAGACAAAGGTGACTCACTGTCAAGCATACATTGACAATTTATATTACTGCATATTTTTTCTTTAGTTCAAGTGGCAAAACAGTGCAAATCAACAGCTTTACATTCCTTCAGTATTCATGTGTTTGTATATGTCACAACAAAGCATTCCTTTGTGAGAACAACTCTCGAAATTACTCCCAGAAGGTAGTGATTTATTTTCTACATTAAAAAGATTAGAAGAAAGAAAAAAGTATTTCGTCATTCTCAGAGTTAAACTGAACAGGGGGAATGTGTGTTTGGGAGCACAGCACTGACATGAAATAATGTGCTAAAGCAATAGATATATTTTTGTTTATTCATCTCGCAAGACTGTAAAATCTTCATGGTTAAGCACAGTATCTGATTAAACTTCATATGTAGGTGCACACACGTAACATTTCACTCAGCGCGTCATTTACAGCACAGTACATTCCTTTAAATTTGAACTCGACAGCCTTTATGATCCCAAAACGGAGCTGTTTTTGATTCCCGTGATGACATGTAGGACTACACAGACGTAACAAAGTCTTACAACGACAGACTTTTTCTTTTTGAGTCCACAGACTCATCAGTTGATCTCCTATGAACCAGTTCGACCTCACATGCAGGAAAACAAATCTCAGTGTCGGCTGAATCACCACCTTGCGTGAAATGATTAAAACAATCTCTCAACATCTTGTTAAGAGGTGGAAATGCTAACCAGTTGTTTAAGTGCAAGACATTCAGGGGGGTGGTGTATTTACCGCAAGCTGAGAAAACACAGGGGAAGGGCCTAAATGCAGAAAAAAAGAACAAATGAGGCACTAGAGATCATTCGTACTGTAGCAGGCTGTGCTCACTCATAAGCATGATTGGCCTTAGCTAACTTTTCAAATTCCAACATGCTCCAAAAAGTGCATATTATCCACTGGAAGTTTCCCAAGAAGCTGAGAAAAATTGATTAAGTGAGGGATCAGTGTGTAGGCATGTCATGCTCACCAATGGTGGAATCAAAGCAGTGAAGACATTTTTCATGTTTATCAGTAACGGTCGGAGAGATGATGTCGCTCCGCAAGGGCGAGTCAGTGAGCGCAGTTCGGTAGGAGTCTGTTTTGTAGCACAGACAGACATGAGGCTATAAACCAGAGTTGTTCAGGTTTGGGATGGGGTAGAATTTTGATACTCGACTCTGGGTGGTGGGGTTAAGGCATTCAGATTCACCGCTCATCTTGAAGAAGACCTCCTGCTCCTGCAGCTTCCGTGTGAACTCCTCCTCTAAAGCCTGCAGGGGGCAGCAGATGCAAACAAGAACAAGTGAGTGAGTCAAACGCTTTGAAGATTGCTGTTTGCCATTTACACTGTGCAGGAGCTTGTTGCTGAATATAGTGCACCTGTGGAGAGTAAATGGATATTAAATATACCTTTTTCCTGGGTCTCAGCTTCTCTCTCCACTCCTTTATCTCTTGGCTGTGCTCCTCATCCAGCTCCTTCAGCTTTTGGGTTTCATGTTCAATCAGAAGGTGGCATTTCTCATTCTGAAAGAAAAACGTAGGTTAACACGGAGCTGTAATGTGCTGGATTGATAAATCACAGCTCCTGTACTTTAATCTGCATGGTGAAAATAATTCCCTTTTATTTTATTTCTTTGCTCACACAATGATCCTTCTACAGTCACAGTCCACTATTTATGATCAAGGTATTAAAGCTTGTCCTGCTGTTCCAATCAGGAACAAAAGCTCAGTGCTTAAAATGTGGTCTAAAACACATAAACTGTGTGTGTGTTGTGGCCCCACCTGTAGCTGCTGCAGCTCTCTGATGTTTGAGTCGCACTGCAGCTGCAGATCCCTCATCTGGTTCTCGTGTTTCTGGTGTTGATGGAGCCTCTCGTTCTTCTGCCTCTTTTCTTCCTGAGAAGCAAACTGGACCAAAATACAGACAGACAACTGTCAACAGCAATTCAAACCAACACTGCACCAAACGAAAGCTGGAGAGGCTGATTCTACAGAAGGACAAGGGAGCCGGTGCATTTCAACAACATACATAACATACTTTTTCCAGTATCTGCTTTTCACATACTGTATGTGTTTTGTGTGTACTTTCAAAGTGTCACAACAGCGTATTTTTACAAGCTACTTATGCTGCAGAGAATTTTTTCCTCCACCCGTCTTATCTGATCAAAACTAACTGGAAATAACATTTTGGGGATGATGGAGCCAGTGAAGTGTGTGAGATGGTGACTGGAACGTTGATCCAGAATGACTGGTACTGGCAGTACTGTGTTTTTATTGGGCAGATCCTAGGTGTGCCAGTAGCTAAAAAAAGACATTAGTGACAATGTCACAACAGTAGCAGAGTGTCTGTACCTGTTTTATCCTCTCTCTCTCCTGCTCTGGCGTGACGGATGCAGTGGCGGTGATGCGTATGCTCTTCTTGAACATGGCCATGCGGGTCTTGGCGTCGCTGCGTTGAATCTTGGGCAAACGGACCCTCTCTTGAGTCTGCTTGTTCTTCATCTCCTCTATCAACCGCTGATTGTAGCGCTGCATCTGCTCCATCTCCTATAAAATACACACACATGCACGCGGCTTTGAGTTCAGCAGCATTATCTGAATGAGGCCGCACATTTCTCTGAGGAGATTTCTCTCGGAGGACTTACTTTCTCATGCCTCTTCAGCAGCTGGTGCCTCTGCAAGAAGTACTGGTCCTTCAGCTGCTGCTTCAGCTGCTGGTGCTTCTCCTGCAGGTGGCGCTCCTCCAACTCCCACATGGCTGCTTCTCGAGCTAACACACACACACACACACACACACAGTCACGTATGTGGGAGTTAGCAAACATGTTAGGTGGGTAAAGTGATGTAAACAATAGACAGTCAACACCGTCAGAAAGTTGGACACGCTGTTACATGTCTCAAACAGCATGTGTGTATCCTCATTTATCTGCATGTCACACATATCATACACTCATTTTACTCCCTTTCAAAAGTAAAAAAAAAGAAAAAAAAGTTGGTTTAAGGTCTGTCCGTTATGAAAACAAACTCACTTGAAACTTACACAGGATGCTTGACACATGAGAGGGGATCCGTGACATCATGTTGTCGTCTTAAGCATAATTGATAACAAAAATCTGCTGTTGTGGTGCTTTCAGTTGTGTTATCAGGAAATCAGAACCAGAGGTGTCGGCATGTTTCTCACCAGCATGTGAACGCACCACAACAGCTTCAAATCAAAATATCATCAGCTTTACTATTCAAACGATAAAAAGGCTGAACAAAAAACAAGACAGTGTGATATAGCCAACGAATGACTGCATGTTTCAAGTCTCTACAATCTGATTTCATATCTCACTGAAATAAATGGAAACTTATAGCTGCCTCTAACGTAGGAAATGCACATATAGAGGGTGGCAGTGAAAAGCTGTAAGTAAGTTGACTGTAGTAAAAAGTCAGATTTATTAAGTACTTCTTTCTCCATCTCCTACCTCGCATCAGCTGCTGCTTGTGGTTGAGGCAGTCTCTCTCAATAGTGGCGATCTCTAGTTTATGCTGCTGGATGATTTTCTTTAGAGCTCCGTCCAGCTCTTGCTGCTGCTTCTGTAGGAACTCCTGCTCCTGAGGAGCCAGAGAGGAAAGGAGCGGTGAGAAACAGCAGAGGAAGCCACGGGGATTGCACAGAGGGACAGCCAAGAGCAGAGAGAGACGGCACAACAGCACAAAAGCATCTTAGGTATCAAATCTGCCTGAAATAAAAATGATAATCTAGTCAAAGTCATTCACTTCAAGTTCAGTACAACACAGAGCACTCAGATGTCACAGCATCAACTGAAATCAGTAGAGAAGACACTCATGTAGAGAAGTCATGGATGGCAACGATCCACAATGGAGGTGAAGAGAGAAAGAAAGAAAAGTTAACGGCTCAAAGATTCAGATTCATAGTTTTATGTGAGACAACATCGACACCGACGTTCACATCGTCCAGAGCCCGGCCTACATTATGCATGACTCATTACATAACGAGCCAGAGATGTCTGTTCATTTAATTTTCTTTTTAAATAGATGTAATGATCTATTCTTTAGACGTCTAATACCTAGCTGGTGGCAAATAGTAGGATACGTGCTGCTATTACTTAACTATGATTCGGCATAACTGCTTATATAATTACACAGAATTCACTTTACCAGTAAAGAAAACCTGGGTAACACACTTCTTATACTGCTGAATCCAAATTAAGCTGGTTAAAATGTGATACCATAACCAGATGATGCACAACACAAGTGACTTTTACATCCATCCTGTAAGGCAGTCGGTCTGTATACTTGGTCCTTGCCTGACAAGAGACAAACAGATCCAGACAGAAAAGGATCAACAGCTACACCACCTCTAGGAAAGAGCATTGTAACATGTTTACTCACAGACTCAGTCTAGTCTGATGCAAACGTGTGTAATACCATATAAAACACCATATAAAATACACAGACTAGATGTAGGACATTTGTGGATGGGTGGAGGAAAAATACTGAGGAAGGAGAGCAAGAGGGAGAACCACTGCACAAACAGAGTCATGACAACACTCAAAAAAGAAAAGTAACAGCGCCCATGCTTACATGTGTCGCGCTCAAAGTAAAACTGCACCATCACACAAACTATCTGGTAACTTAACTTCGCTAACATCTAAGTATGGGCCAGAGACGGAGAGAAAAGGGGCAAGGGGGCGGGTGGGGGGAAACTTACATCCTGCATCTGAGCGTTGAAGAGTGCGCATGAGGACAACTGAAAAGACTGTATCATAACCTGGGCCACTGCCTGTGGAGGAGAGCACACAGTGGACCTCTCACACACACAAACACCAGCACACACACTAATTCCTTCTACGTTATGTAAGAGATGGCCCTTTCCCACTTATCGGTGCATTATAGCTGCACAGCTCTGGATAAATGTGAGGTAGAAATAAATTAATTAGTTGTTAATACTCGTCATCTCATGCTTGAAAGCGGATGGTAATTTCAGCACTTGGGTTTCATCCAGCTTGCAAAAGAGCAGTTTTGTTTCCTTCCATGCCACTGGCTCATGGAGTGTTAATAATCTAAGAGTTACCTCTCACAGAGAAAAGAAGGTCTTTGTCCCCATGACTCATGTCTAATTCATAAAAGATGCACAGGAAAAACAAAGTTTGGAAATGGGCTTTCAGTGCAGATGTGTGCTGTGGAAACAAAAGCTGTGTCTGCAGCCGCTCCCTCCTTCATTAATTCACTACAGGAGAAACGCTCAGGGGCGCTCTGTGGTGAGCAGCAAGACGAGAGCCGACATTTATGAATCAGCATCGTAACTGTGCATCGCCGCTAACACATGTACTGTGACCTAACTGTACGTTCAATATCTCAGGAGCAAAGACGAAGAATTGCATTGTGGGATGTTTAGTAATCAGTAGCACACATGCTATGGATCATTCATTTTTTGTTCTATTGTGGGCATTTTAAAGAATGAAATCTATCACAGTATATTTAATTGTGTTAGTAAAATAATTGTTAGTTGCTGCCCTAACAACTAACACTATCACTTGCTCAATAAATCAGTTAACCATTTGGTCTATAAAATGCCCATCAAAGTTTCCTTAAAATTTTCTATGCCTTCAAAACCCAAAGATATTTACTATTTCTATCAAAGAGGAGTACTAAAAACAGCAAATCCTCACATTTAAGAAAGTCGGAACCAGAAAATTTAAATTACTTTTGCTTAAAATATGACTTTTCATCAATTCAATTATCAAAATAGCCTAGAAGACTAATCAAATAGTCTAGCAGACTAATCAAATAATCAATGAATTGTTTCACCTCTACATTTTATATCTTGATATTGATTATCTTTATGTATTACACTTTCTAGAAACTCAATAGAGAAACCATTAATGGATAAAATATCCTGACAGAAGAGAGTATTTTTTAGTTAACCTGGTAAATTAAATACATAGTAGATCAAGATGCTTCACACTGATAGCCATAAAGCAGTTCTTAATACCACCACATTATACTAAAGGGACAGCCAAACTGAAACATTTTGCCAAGTTTAAATGGTAAAATCTTTGATGGTTGACAGATTTCTTTAGTCCCACCATTTATATATATTGTCATATTGCTCATCCATACCTAAAATTTTGACTCTCAAATAAAAATGTTTGCAAGTTATGCACTAGGTAGCAAATATGGAGGGATTACAGACACAGCACTTCTTTGTGTGTATATGAACGCCTTACAAGAATGAATGAGGTTATAGGCAGAGAGGGAAGAGGAGACAGAGTAAGTTTACTCTTTCATAGAGTAAAAGACAGCAGGTGACGGTTTACCTCTGCGGTCTTAAGGAGCGATAGGTCCTCCTTTAAGCGTTTCATGAGCTCTTTTCTCATGTGTTTGGGTGACTGTCCAACTTCCTGTTCGACCTACAGTGTGTGTGCAGAAACTGGTTGATGCGGTATATTTTGAAAATCTACCAAAGCTGGCCAACAACAGTAGAAGGCATGCACGGCCCACTTTGAGAGAAGAGATACCGCATCCAGCCACCAACTGATTTAAAGTCAGCATGCGTTAATTCCTGTGACCTGCGATTGACGTCCCTGTGAACTCAGTCAGTCTTGATTAGTAGATTTTCAGAGCATGTCAGAGAAATGTAAGTTTGAAAGGGGCGAGTCAGCGTCAAGTCATGAAAGATTTGACTGGTACATGCCAGAAGATGTTAAGTCTATTAAAAAAAAGCTCCCTCTGTATTACTTTGCATTAAGTTAAGTCCCACAGCCGTCAAGATGATTATGTTGCCTCTGGAAATTAAAAAAAGAGTAACTGAGTTGGAATCATCCAGCGACCACCGAGTGCAGAATCACGCCTGTACCCAAGACATCTTTTGTAACATGTTTTAAGGTGGCTAAACTAAACCAGGTTCAGTAGGTCTGTGTGATGCAATCTGTGTGTGGGTACATCATGTCTTAAAAGAGAGGCATGGGAAATAATAACCTCCACTCCACTGTAAGCATAGGTGGGCCAAAGGGTTGCTGTCTCAGTCTGTTTACATGACTGTGTTCTTACAGGAGATTTAATAGTGTGCTTTGATAACCTGTCTGTGTTTGACCCGAAGTGACTCAACAAAACTTTTAAGCAGGAACCCAAAATACCAGGGAGCAGTCAGCCATACTTGGATGAGATATTTGATGTCAGGTGCAGGAAAAGAGCACTGCTACCATTGAGTAAGCGATGTTGTATCATCAAGGCGCACACCACTTGTTTTACAGACTGCTTTTATTATCAGTAGCCACTAACCCACTGTGTTTCCTGCTCTATTTATTCAACTACTTTGTTATCTACTTGTTTATACAGTAACACTGAGTGTGTAACTGACTGATGGCAACTGAATTAAATGGCAGCCAAGGCACAAGGTTTTAAATAAATTACATTCCTTGAACTCCTTCCGTTATAGATGATTCCATATCAGTTACTCTGATGCAAGTCTTTTATTATTTCCCCAAATGAGCCCAACACCACTTGGACAAATCTTCGAAAGTTGGCCATCCCATGACCAAAGTCACCTCACACACTCATACATGCGACATGGTTAGTTAAATACACAATAACAGTACATTTTGAACAAATAATGCAACATTGCAAGTAACAAAAAGTATGCATTTTATCAGTGACTATCGCAATAGCTCATATTTCTGTAGCTAAACCATAAGAAAGAAACTGACAGCTGAAGCAACCACTTTAAGCCAACCCGCAATATGATAATATTTTTAAGTACAATAAAAATATACTCTATTAGTGGCCCAGAAAGAAAATTGCGAGCAGCACAACCACCACCAAGGATGCCAATCTGCACTACTGTCATAAAAATGATGCAAAAAGAGAAACACAAAAACTGCAAGCACACCCAAAACATCCAACAAAGCATTTAAGGCTGCCAAGCAGACAAAGAGGCAGAAAGACTAACAATGACCTAGCAGCACAACATCATAATAAGGTTTTATGCTTAGCCTGAGACTGAACTTAAAAATAACAAACAGACTCAGTAGCACAGTATTGCTAAAGAAGAAACCAGAAGCCTTTGGGGCTGATGAATAATGGATACAACATGAAGCTAGCAGCATCTAGGAGAAAGATAGCACAGTCTGTCCGTTGCTATCATTTGAAAACACATACAGTACGAGGCACATCGGCGAAGCACACCACTCCCATAGGATTAATATGACACAGCCAAGAATGCCACGGGCTAAGATGTTAAACACACGCACCATTAAACAGCTTGCATCTGACATGACATGCAAATGTTTACGACCCTGCGCTAATAAGGCAAATAAAAGGCACACCCATGCAGCCATACCTCTTTCTTCCGGTTCTTCAGCATGTTTTGGAACTTGGAGAGCTCCTTGTCTTGATCCGCTTTGATGCGTTTGGCTTCATCACGGAGCCGGCTGGTGTGATCCTGTTCCAGTCGCTCAATGGTCTGCTTCTGCTTCTTCTCAAGATTCTCCACTTCTTGGTCATACTGACGCTTCTTAGCCTGCACGGACAGAATCAACAGACACTGGTGTCAGCCTGACAAAATTACTAGATGTGTTGTTATGTGATCCAATATCATAGATTAACACTCAAAAGTTAGTTTCAGGCCTTTACTGCATAAGAGGGAGCGGGGGATTGACTGCAAAAGACATTTATATAGATTTATATGACAGACTCAAATTAAAGTTTCTAATATTGTGAGCATCACTGATTACAGAGAATTTGCACTCCATGGTAGAAATGCTTATTGAGGAAATGATAAGTGAAAGAGACAGAGTTGGTGCCTGGCTACATGCTTCATGTAATTCCCTCCATCAGTTCTAGATCAACTTTGAGATTATGCAGCTCGTCTCCTAGGAGTTAGCCAAATAAAATAAAAAAAAAACACTGCGGTACGAACAAATTGACTCACAGCAGTTTCCTGTTCAAAGCGCCGGTAGATCTGCTCTCTCTGCTGCTGCAGCTTGTTGCTCAGCTGCTGCTGGGCCCTTTGCTCCTCTTTCTGCAGGAGGCGCAGCTCTCTCAACTCCTGCCGCCTGAGGAAACCACAGTAACAGTGCAGTCAGGGTGCCCCCATATTTACTCACCTCAAATTCAACTGTCACTGATGATGAAGGATGATGAAGGATGGTTTCATTGTCTATTTTATATACTCAATGTAAGGTTTATTATAATATTAGTCTACATTAATATGTAAAGGGATATTTCCAGGTCTTCTTATTTCTGTGATGTGAAGTGATCCATGTTATCTCTGTGAATCACTGACATAAAGTCATGAACCCAATAGTCAGACAGCACTTGTGTAAACATTCAGAGCAGCATGTCTCATGTCTTTAAAAGGCTACATGGAAGATGAGAGTAACACAATGCAGCACTCATCACGGGAGATAACCCATCTGGCATTTGTAAAAAGCTGTGAGAGTTGTGAAGTGAGCAAGAACTATTTAAGGCAGGCATGTTAAATAGGCCGTGTCACATATTTAGACCAACAGTATGGTAGCAGACTGGATACAGACATACCTCAGGAACCTCATCTCTTCGCTCTTGGTGTCGTTATCTGTAACTATCTTTGATGTTGTCACGCTGACCTCCACACCATCCACCATGAACTTACGTGTCTTCTTCAGAGTCTTCTTCTGACGTTTTGACTCCTACATATGAAACAGGGGTGTTTTGAGCACTAAAATGATCAAAATAGTGTTGATAATAAAACAACTGACGCTGTAAGTGAGGCAAACATTGTATTACCTGCATAGACACAGAGCCCCCTTCTTTGCTCTTGGAGAGGAAGCTGGAGATGGACAGATTAAGGTCAAGGCTGTTGCTATCAGCAGCAGAGCTGCTTCCAGAGTCAGAGTCCTTCTCCACATCTGGCTTGATCACAGCAGGGCTTCCATGCTCGAGCTTGCTTTCGGAATCCGTTTCACTCTCCGGGACAGAGACAGCATCTTGGAAAGTGCTCTCATCTGCAGGAGCGGCCTTCTCCTCATCTTCCTTCGCAGTGACATCTTTACATGGGACCACTTGTTCTGAATCCTCAGAGGTGTCTTTGGCTTCTTCACTGACTCCATTTGTGGATTCAGCTGGAGCCCAATCCTCCAGTCCAACCTCCTCTCTGGGGTGACTGTCTTGTTCAGGCTGCTCTGGCTGCTCGGGGGCCTCATTCTCAGGCTTGTCATCTGCCCGACTTTCTATGGCTTCCTTCTCAAACAAAACCTCAGCGGAGGACTCCTCCACACTCGAATTTGTGTCTGCGTCTCCATTTATGTTTGTATCAATTACATTTGATTCTATATTCTCTGTGTTAATATTTACATCTGTGCCATTAGCTGTGTCTTCTATTCTGTCCTCTGTTGCTTTATGTTGAAGTATCTCCTCATCTGCTTCTTTGCTTTCTTCTCCTCCCTCAGCCACCTGTCCTGATAGGGATTCGGGTTCTTCTGGTATATCTTCAGGTTGCCCTTGTGATTCTCTGGCTTCTTCTGTCTCTGCTTCTTTTTCTTCCTCTTCTTTCACCTTCTCGGGTTCTCTTTCTTCTTCTATTACTTGGGTAGGTTCGTACTCTTGTGTCTCCTTCAGTTCTTCCTGTGTTTCTTGACCATCTGTGACAAATTCTATCGGTTCTTCTAGCTGTGATACTACAGGCTGAGCAGGAATCTTTTCAGCTTGGCCATCATCTAGTTTAGGCTCTGTATGTTCTTGTGAGATAATGTCCTTGGTAGGCTCTATTAGCCCAGAGGCCAGGTCTTCATTACTGGCATCAGACACCTCATTGAGTTTCTCCTCCTCAGTCTTGTCTACTTCACTTGTTCCAAGTCCTTCGTCAGAGAGCTTATCACTGGTTCGGTCCTCAGCGGGCTCAGCCTCCGTTTTTTCTGTAACAGATTCCAGCATGGAGGGAGTTGGTGGGACTCTGTCATCCTCTGAGCTGGCCACGCTGGCATCAGATGCCGCTCGCTTGTGCCCAGGAACCGCCTGAGCCAACAGTTGAAATGTGAAAATCACAATATGTCATCAATGAGCAATAGAAACGGTCACAGCTGATCAAGGATATCAACAACTGTTAGAGTTCACACATCATTTCAAAAAATCTCTGGTCGAGTACTACTTTGCTTGTTATTTAGATACACAGATAGAATTACATACCACAGGCGTATCGGGCTCTTCCTCCTCCTCCTCCTCCTTGCTATCCTCGATCTCCTCTGTGACCTCAGCTTTGGCCTCGGCTATGATCTCTCTGAGAGGCTTGCTATCAGTTACACTGGTGACAAAAGGATGCTACATAGACGGACAGGGACGCAAGACAACAACGTTAAATACTAACCTTCATCCTTCACAAACTATCAGGCTGAATCAGATATAATAACAAACAGCAAAACAGGGAAGGACACCCTTTAAGATATGACACATTCAGTTTTGTGTATGCATTTTACATATTTTATTGTAGGCTGCATAGATGGTTGCGTATTGCGAGATAACAGTAGGGAGTGAATGCAGTTGGGCAGCTCACCTGTAGAAGCTGCTGTGTGTCCCACCTACTGTCCACATTCTTATCCAGTGCTTTCCGCAGAAAGTCGCTGAATTCTGGTGACCTTTCAACAATAAATTAAAAAGAATCAGCTTGCTGGCCATAGAACAGAGCGTGCATCCTGCTTTGTGGAATAAAATTAATACTATTCTTCCGTATGTGGCCATTCAGTTAAGCATTAACAATTCAGCAAGCTTTCACACATTAAACAGTCAACATGTCCTTATCTCCAATGCGGAAACATTTCATTGCCACTTCTCTAGTTATCACCAGCGGGCCATCTCACCAGCGAGAGGGATGCATGAGCGTGGGCGGCTCGGACTTGGCTATTTTCAGCAGCACTCTCATGGGATTCATCTCGTGGTTGGGTGGCTCGATCTGCGCCAGCTCTATCAGGGTTACCCCGAGGGACCAGATGTCAGCCTTATAGTCGTATGGACGGTCCTTGGATGTTTCGCACATTACCACCTCTGGGGCCATCCTGCAAAAGTAGAAGTCAGTGGGTTTGTAATAAGAATTAAGCAAATATTGGACTACAAGCAAATTATGTACATTCAGGCACGTAGTTTCATATCTGTCTAATCCCTTAAGGTCAACCAAGTCAGAAAAATAGTATGTGTGTGCATTGCGGTCTGGAATTTTAATAGATAAGAAACCTATTCAGTATTTAAAGCTGAGGTCATCAAACACTCAAGTGCATCTAAATTGCTGAATGAGGCCTTTTCCGTTCAGTCACATTCCATGACATCTTTTGCACCAGCACATAGAAAAATCCTCCCCTCTAGTTATGGGACACGCTAAGACAATTATCAGACAATAAAGGGTGAATGCCCTCTTGTATGCAGGTCGCATGACTCACCAATATGGAGTGCCAATGAAAGAATCTCTTCTCTGTAATGTCTTGGTATTTTTAGCAGACACCCCAAAGTCAGCTGAAATAAGAAATAAATTATGATTCCTTTCATCAATGACTCAAACTGAATTGTAGAATGACATTGGAATAACATATATCACATTTCTACAAGAAATAGACAAAAGGTTAAAGGCGGACTTTTGCTCCTGAGTAAAAGTTGAAGAAACCAGATGGTTGATTGTGGTTTTAAACTATTCTTTATGGTTAGAAAAAACTCTGGATGCCAAACAATGGATCACTTAACAAATCAGAGGTAGAACATTCAAAACAATTATAATTTTAAAATCTTAAACAAATATCTTAAAGAGGTGGTATTATGCTCATTTTCAGGTTCAAAATCTTATTTAGGGGTTGTACCAGAACAGGTTTACGTAGTTTCATTTTCAAAAAACACCATATTTGTTTTCATTCTACATATTGCTGCAGCTCCTCTTTTCACCCTGTGTTGAAGGCTTTGTTTTTTTAGTGATCCATCTGGTCTATACATGATTTTTTGTTGGGCGTTGCACATGCGCAGCTCCTAGTTAAGGACTACTAGCCAATCAAAAGCAGAGAAAGGGTGGGTCAGTGAGACGCAAACACAGCTTTATTTCAGCTGTACATGCTGCCGACCAGGGGTGCGTTTCCCCAAATTATTTTTCCTAACTACAGTAGCAGCTTCCATAGACAGTATATTACTGGACGAAGCCACCCCGCTGATTTGAATAGAGAGCAGTAAAGCCTCCTGTTGGCACCAGCATCTACTGCGCATGATCGCGCAGCATAACCGTGGTTTAATGATGTAGAACAACTGCAGAAACACCGTAATTCTGGTAGCTGCATAACTGCGCCAACAAAAAGTCTCATGGCTCAGAGTGTTTGTCTGACTTGGATCGTCACGATTTAATCAGCGCACCTACGAGGCACCAACGCAGCTTTTTTTTTTTTTAGATATAGCATAGTTCGAACTACAGCTCCGGACCTGCGGTTAGAAGCTTAGTTCAGGGTGACTACATCACAGATAGCAGAAAATGCAATGTTAGGAGGTGGATGTAATGTGTTTTAAGCAGGGAATGTTAGATAATCCTGCTGTACAAACATATTTAAGGAAAGATTTTTTAAATGTAGTTGATACTTTTAGAAGATACTTTTAAATGTGTTTGTCGGGTCATGGGTGGGGTTGCATTATTTCAGTACTAAGAAGCCTATCTGTAGACTATTTACCCATCTGTTCACAGTAATTTAATTAGTCACCCAGTACAAAGGTTAAAGGACCTCTGAGGAAGATGGGTTTTCTCTAGTCTTCATTACAAGCATAGATATAAAAAGAGACAGCATACAATCCATGAAAGTACTGTAATGAATAAATCCTTGAGAGTTTTCGTTGCCTTTATAACACAGATAAATAGAGAACTCACGGAAGTCGAACCCGTGTCTGTCTCAAAAGAGAACATACACAAGTTCAGACACTTTTCGCACTGAGCTATTCTCAAGACCTAGATGATATCGGTTGTGTCCAAGGGATTCATAATAGTGTTAAAGTGAGAAGATACTTGCAGATTAAACATATTTTACTAAATATCTTGTAATCGTTAATAGTTCTTAATTTTTTCTTCTAAGTTATAGACTATATGTAGGCTAAATAAAATGATTAGGTTATATATTATTTATATTGTTGATTTCATTAATACTGTTGTTGATATTCTTTTTATTTTCGGTACGACTATGATATGAAAAGCCTAAATAATAAGTTAGCATAATAATGTCACTTAATATCGATCACAACTTACATATTTAGGCAGAATATGACATTTTGTGAGTTTCGTGCTGTGAAAGTCGAACACACCTGGAAACATGTTAGTTCGAACTACGTTGGTTCAAACTAAGTTATTAGTTCTATAACAAATGTATCTTTCATCCATAAAGTTTTAACTGAGCTCTGTCTCTACTTCACAGTAGCAACTTTATGTCCATTGACTGCCTGGAGGGTAGCTAGTGTTTGGAAGGGAGAGGAGGTGTGTGCTGCAGCTCTGTGTTTTTCCACCAGTGTTTTTGAGGGCGTGTCGGAGTAGCCGCTTGGCGAGCGTTATATGAGGCGCATTTAGCTTTCTTCCCTGTGTCATCACAAGGATGAAAAGAAAGCGGCTGGACTACAAACGAGCTGTTTTCAAGCAGTTCAGAGCAGAGTTTTCTGTGGGAGATGGAAACTCCCTCTCGGCTGGACTTTGGGCTTTTTCACTTTACGAACCTATTACACAAAAAAGGTATATAACCCAATAAAGGAGAGAGAAAAAGCCAAAAAGCATAATACCACCTCTATAGATTAATCATGTGCTGATTAGTTTGTGATTCAAATTAAACATTTATTGAACATTTGTTATATTGTTAGTGAGGAAAATTATGCTGTGATAATTACCATTATTGTTTTATTGCCACACCAGTGCCACAGTTACAGCTAACTTACTAATCTGCTTCAAGCTTTCAAATATGATGAACCCCATAAGTGGGCAGAAAAGCCTCAATCTCCCTTTTATAATGCTCCTACAACACTCCCGGCAGTTCTGTCACCTGTGCAACTATTTCAGCTTGCTCTTTTTTTCTCACATCACTCAGAGGGTATACACATTCGAGGGAAAAGGAGCTCTATCATCAAGTCCCTGGTGACTGCTTGATAATTATTGTTTGCCAGGCTCCGTCATGACCCTCTGCCTACAGAACATGAATCATCAGGGAGCCAGCAGCTATGGATGCTACAGCAGCAACATAAATACTTTTTCTTCTGGAATATTATGTAACCAATTAAATGTATCAACAACTCCTGTACATAAGTGGTGTATTAAAAATATAGTTCTCTCCTTGGGGGCTACTGAAAACATGTTTTTGTTTTTTTTTACTTGATGCCACATGAATGACTCATTCCAGTTTTATCATATGTAAACACTGTGCTCTGCACTTGTCACCACTATCCCCAAATAAATAGCTCAGCTGGTTGCCACAGCACTGATGGCAAAGGGATCCACAAATGACTTTACTAATGAGCATTTTAAGCCTATTAGTGTTGGCCCTGCAGGAGTGGCCACCCAGGACACACATCTGAGAGAGAAATCAACAATGAATCAGCTACTGATCTGTGTAGTACTCTAAAAGCTAGTATGTGTACTTAGCTATTCTTTCCTTGCTGAATAGTCCTTCACATTTAGTAAAATACTATAATGGCAAATGGAGCAGCAAACCATTTTTTACCCAGTTTCACATCTCCATCCAAGGAGAGTAGGATGTTCCCGGCTTTCAAGTCTCTGTGGATGACCTTGTTCTCATGGAGGTATGACAAGGCCTCCAAGGTCTGCTTGCACACCACACGGATCTGGGGCTCTGTCAGGGGCCTCTCCAGCTCTGTGGATGAACATGCACACAGATAATTCATAAGTGATCATATGTTCTTATTGTGGTTTTGGTGATGCAATTTTACACAGACAGACTGGGTCATTTGGATTATAATTATCAACTGTGATGGCCTGATTACATTTAATCACATGACAAAACTCCACCCTGACACCAGGCTGCATGTGTGACTGGACAAATCTGGTTGAAGAAATGTGTTCAAGGTGAGTCAGGCTACAGAGCACAAAGCATCAACATCCAAGAGTGAAGTGATTTAATTGGTGTCCTCTTTGCCGTGGTAATTCACACGTAAGGAAAAGTGTTGAGGTGTTTTGTCAAGATTCAACACAGAGAGAAACTGCAGCCGTTAGAAGTGGACGAACCACTACTTGAAATCTGAGCTACAATAATTACACAGTTGGAATGGCCTCTCCAACTGGGGAGAAGGAAAAAAATCCTACAGAGGAGGCTTAGGATGGAATACAAAATAAAAAAAAAGAGTTGGCGATTGAGGATGGAGCAAAGAAAAAGCTCCAGAACCTCAGAGTGTTTTTCTCTTTCCTTCAATGAATGAGGGACTTACCCAACATGATGGCATCCACTGCACCACCCGCACAGAACTCAATCAGAATCTGCAATGGTAAAACAAAACAAGGAGGAACAATAAGTAATGTGTACTTTAATACAAAGAAGGCCTTAATTAACTCCTCATAGAGCAGGAACTCTTGTTATGCAAGGCAGGTGAACAACGTTGACTTTATAGGAAACACATAAGAAACCCTAGTCTATGTTGCTGATTATGCTGTGGAGACATTCCAAGAAGCCAATCAATCAGACAAGGAACAGCCACACTGAGAATCCTCTATAGATACATCTTTTCAGGTTAATGTTAACGTTTTAGTCCCTGTTGGATGGAAACTTCAGCCGAGGTTCTAGCTGAAAGTTGCAGACAGACTGGGAACCTCTCCTTCTACAAACTAAACTCTTATTCTTTAGAGTGTAAATGTTTTGTGCGCTGTGACAACACATGACTCACATCCAGGATATTTCATCACACATTCTGATGAAAAATGATTTCCTCATTTTGGGCAAGCATTACAATATATTTAGGGGATAAAGCCAACACTCAACACATGTATGCAGCACAGACAATTTCATCCCTGGAGTACAAGCAGTTTACTTCCTGGCACAAACAAATATTTATAGATATATCTAAACCATACTATTAATATTATGCAAGATGTGAAAGGAAAACGTACCACCGTAATAAGCCAGAGAGTAAATAACCATTACAACTTGAATTTACAGTCAATTGTCAATCTCAGCATGAACATCTTAAGAATGCAACTTTTCAGCTTTACAGTAAAAGTTTAGACTTGTAGAGGTGCTTAAACCAAACGACCTGCTGACTAATAATTAGGGAATAATGGATCCACCATTTCACAGAGCACATTTTAGTTATCTCTGTGAAGCCGCTGTGCATTAGATGAAGACAGCACCATATCCTTGTACTTCTATTGAGATGTAAAACTGACCAGCTCATGACCTCAGTTGTAATCGCTGGTGTAATGTACCCGACCACCACTTCATCTATATTGCCTTGCCAGTTAGCAGCTCATGGTATCAGATGATAGACAAAAATCAATCAAAGCTACAACCGAGCACCGCCCTCCAGCAGGGACTCAAACAAAGAGGTGAAACCAAGCGGTTGTTCCTGTTCTGCATAACAATGTATTGTGCTGTGGAAATCTGGCTTGAAATCTACATTCTTATCATTCTGACAGGTGTAACACGTGGGCTCAAATTGAAATTTGCAGATCCTCATCTCAGGTTAAATTGAATAACATGCATGTAAATTAAGCCTCCTTGTTGAATCTTCTGAAGGAGAAAACAAAAAGGAACATATTATATATTAACTCAACACCCAACACATCCAAAGCAGAGGCAGTTACACATTCATCATGCTGATTTAAGACAGGGGCCGGAACGACAACCTGTATGCAGCTCTGAATTATTCACAGGCACTTTCTCCAGTCACCAAAAGCCCTCCATTATCATCCAATAGATGTGTCCAGTCCACAAGGGACGGTCACATGACACCACCTGCCAGGACATAATTGCTCTGGGGCCTCTTACTGCACACAGAATGAGATCTACTCACCATGTATTAAACTGCACTGTGGCTCAACTCTCTGCTCACAGTAAAATAGCTTGATGAGGATGCAGGCGCAGAACTCTTTTGTCACTATAAAGAAACCATACTGCTTATATATGCTTTAGATATGTGGGAAGGTAAGAATAAGGTCAAAATGGGGAGTATTTTAGCTGGAAGTCACAGGTCCAATTGTAAACAGGAAGTTGCTTAGCCTACATTGCAGGAACCTACTTCTTCCCTTAACATAATCCATAGCTTCAAATGAGATGATGTACAATCTATAATGTTAATTTTTTTCTAGATTATGAGTTGAGACTTCCGGGAGGTCAGGCCTTGTACCAACTATGTCACATGATCGGTTTTAAACTCTTCAAATGTAGGCGACAGGACAAAAATGCACTGTTATTATCCTTTAATCGAAATATATAAGAATTCTGTGAGAAACAGCATAACGAATAGTGGCTTGTGATGAAACTGTGTGTCTCCATGCGTGACTGGTTCACTGCCTTGGTGTCGGCTTGGCTTCAAATCAACAGCAACAAACAAAAAAGAAAAGAAAAACCGTTCTCAGCCAGGCACTTGCTTACTTACCCAAAGTTTGCCTTCAAAATAGAAGGCATCCAGCAGTTTAACGATGTGGTGGTGGTTGCAGGAGGCCAGGATGTCAATCTCTACCATGTAATCCTCCAGTTCATCCTCTGTCTTTGTGTCAATAACCTTTGCAGCAGCGAGGGTCCCATTCTGCTTGTTCTGGGCCTGAAAGCAACATTGATGACAAAAATAGTTAATCGTTTATATCCCCACAATACGAAACATATAAATTAGGAAAGAAAAAGGTAAGAGAACACAGAGAAGGCTTGTATTAATTGAGTGTGCTGTATAATATAAATTATATTCCTGGCTAGACTACAGAACAATCAGCTTGTCTAACTTTGCTAAGGCCGTGCTGTAGTGCAGCTTACATGGAAGAACATCCATCAACATTAACAATTTAATTTAAGACTAAAGTAATTTTAGCAATAAACACTTCAACACTTCATGGCTTGTGTAGCTCAAAGCAATCTCTATAAATACATTTCATAGAGACTTTATGATAACATGTGAAAAAACATCTGAAGTCAAAATATTTACAATATGCCCCATCATCTTCTGACCTAATCTAAAAAAACTGATCAAACTTGCTCACTTCCTCTTCTTTCTCTTGTGTTCTTTCTTTCCTTTCACTTTGACACACCTACTTTAAGCTCAGATGTGTTACAGTGGCAGCAATTTACAGATTATACCAAGTAAATGTACGATTTAATAGGTTTCTGTTTGGAGAAATGGCTTTTTCACTAAAATCTTCATTCCCAATTAGGCAGCACTGAAGAGACTAGTACAAAAAATGACCACGCATGCACTCCGTCGAACAACTAGCTGGGAAGTTATTTTAAGGCCAGCTTTAGACTTAATGTTTATGGATACAGACACAATCTCAGGGAGTTAAGGAAAAAGAAAAGGGAGGGAGTGTTAGGAACAACTGCTGCAGAGTGTGTCACACCCTATATTTACACAGTTCTGACCTGACACACTCACTGTGTCTTTCCCTTTGTACTGCACGACATCTGTCCAGCACATGTCATCACTAATATGCATGCAGATTCAACCATTAGGTTCATGATGCCACGGGTAGTGATAATTTGCCTGTCAATGAGTTATTTAAGTGGATTCTGTGTCCTTTAAACTCTATATACCAGTCTGTTTTAAGGGATTAAAGGAGAGTTTGTGGGTGTCATAATAACAAATCAAACAAGTCTGAACATTGTTAAAATGATCTTTTAAGACTAGCAAATACTGTCACCTGTCTGGATGTGAACACAGATTAATCATTACAGCTGTATTGTATGGGTACATTACTTGGCAGAAGGACTGCATTTTTGTCTCTCATATTGTAAGACATGTATGCCAATCTAACTGAACTGACTGGCTGTGCGAACAGAATTATGTAAGCTGTTATGTCCAAAAAACATGACACGCCTCTTCAGTGATTAAAAAAAGAAAAAAAAAGGTACAATTCACCCCATGTGGATGCAAGTTCAGGGCTCTTCTCTCTTTCACTCTCTTAAACAGCTAATTCACACTTTGCTGGCAATCTTTGTCACTCCGCCCAAAAGAGGAAGCCATCAACAGCCTGTGAAATAACTGATGAAATGCGTAATCTGTGTTGATGGTAATGTGATCTGATGAAGGCAACTGCTCCCCACCCCTCCATGAGAGGGAACCGAACAGGGAGACAGTATATTGTGGGGTGTATATTTGTCTGCAACTTTAGTCCGGGCAGGCATGAAAGTCCTCTGGCTTTCATCACAGTTAGTTAATCAGCTAATAAGGAAACCGGAAAATTAAGATTTCTGAGCCATTAGCTGCATTATTTGATAACAACAGTTCCAGGAAGGGACAACATAAGTCAGAGAGAAAACAAGAGAAAGCTGTTCAGTGTGGGTTACTGCAAAAGAGTCCTGAACTGACATGGAGCTTCATGTAAAAGTAATTTCTACAAACTACTAGACTAACTACATTTCTCATCTTATAATCAGCTGTGTTTGATATGTTTTATACCCATGAACTGCGTCTTGAAAGTTGTTTAAAAGAGCTGACCTTTCCAAAGGGTGTTCTCAGCCCAGTACAAATTCCCACAAAGATAACCTGGAGAGGTACGTCAGTTAGCAGTGATAACAGGTGGTGGACACAAAACCATGACTACCTTGCTATACAATGCAATCCACCACCGCAAACTACAGCCTTTCAGAAACTGCAGAACGAAACAACCCCTCTCTGGCACTCTGACTCTCTCAACAAAAGCTAAAAGTTCAACGAGCATTTGCATTATCCTGTACTGGTGTTGCAAGTATTGTGTACAGTAAATTTACATACACACCTGCACGCCTGTCACAGTGTATAGCAACAGTAAACTACTTGCCCATGCCTTTGTAAACAAAGTCCCTTTCCACAAATGGCCAATTCTACAAGGTTGTGATTGACACATTTGACTTTTAAGGGCGCCTGCTCTCTGTCTTTTTGCCCCCCCTACCTTCATCACTTTGACTTGAGCCCAAGTGCAACATGGCAAAAATCATTATTATAACCTGACAATGTAACAGGGCCTTTCTTAAACCTCCAAAATGGGAAATGCCACTGACACACTTAACAGGTGAGTTTAAGCTGTCACAGCCTTAGGCCACGTTTCTTTAACGTTACATAGGCAACAGGAATCTATTTAGTAGTAGAGTATGAGATGTATGAGTGATCTGACATAGCATGATAAAAATTTAAATTAATAGGGGTCTAGTGGCCTAGAGAATGTGGCCTTAACGAGAACTGTGCCATCCCTGCTGTCAATTAAACGTTATATGACCTGAATGAAACACAATGGAGTAACGTTAACGCTATCTTAAGAAATAGGTTAGAAAACCCCAAGGCGGATGTAACGTTACCGTTAATACATTACCTTGAACACTTTCCCAAACGCTCCATCTCCCAGCTCCCCAATGATCTCCCAAAATTCCTCTGGGTTAACGTCTCTATGCACATGTTCATACTGCTTCTTCTTCTTATCAGGCCCAAACTTGAATATCTTCCGAAAATTGAAGAAAGACATCTTTTCGGACGTCAACTACAGCGTCGTGGGTTCGGTTGTTTCCGCCAACAAAATATAGAGGTTCCTCCCGACGCGCAGCTCAAATGGCTGGCGAAATAACAGCATGCGGGCGTTAAATGAAGACAGAGAAGCTGCTATTGTAGCCATTCAGATATGATAATGTCAATTATAACTTCCCTCGACGGCAGTTATTCATAATCACATAATAGCTAGCAGTGGTCGACGCTGGTCGGGGAGGTGAGGGATAACGTACTACAGAGAAGAGTTCGCTGTGTTACGTACAGGCTGGCGTTTCCGTTTTAAAATTAAATTAAATAAAACAGTAAATATCGACCATGTCACAACACTCGACACGACATTCTCATTATTTAACGTTAGCGAGTAAAAAAACGAAGAGAGTCAAAGTACCCCATGCTTCGGTTGGCTGACCATAACTGAAGTTAGCGGACTAGCGTCAAGCGAGCTAACCTTACTTGTTTGGGTTTCCGTTATGAACGTTCAAATTAAAACCGTTACCAACGAACCACCGCACAATGCATCTTTTAATCACTGAAAAGATAAAATAAATAATAAATTCCACTGTAACAATGAGGCAAATAGTGTTATATTAGCTGTCTTTTGTACTATTTTGTGTGTGTTAATGGAGAAATCTCGCTAGCTTTCATGTACTTAACTTACATTACATCTGTTTTGCTGAATGAACCTTTTCCCACGAAATCATGTGGTCCAAATGCGATTGTGTTTTGCTAGGCTATGTCGTTTTTGTGTTGCCGGAACAACGCAAGCGAGACTCTTTTACTTCGAAGACTAACGTTAAATGTCAATATTTCCGCTGTCAGGTGGTCTATCACTTGTTAGCTTGACGCAGTTGGTTAGCTGTATCTATTTCCTGAATCTGCTCAGCAGGACGTGCTTAGCGGCTGAGCCCCTCGGCTCTAGCACGCATGCTAACGTTACTTATGTTCCTGTCGTCATGAAGATGAAAAAATAGTAGAAGTTGCTTTACATTTTAGCCCAATTCATGCCCACATTGTGTTAGAAGGAGTCAGATAATGGAGGCTAATTTATCAGTTCAGCTAATTAACAGTAATTAAGCAGTAATAGGCTGGTTAAGCAGATAAGGGATAAGTTAATACCGGTAACGTTACCTTATAATTAAGTATAGTTGGTCTTTTATTTTCATAATTCACACCATAAAGTATTGTAAAATACAATAGGACCACAGATTTCTTTGTCTTGGTGTCTTTAATCTAACGTTAACTGTTACTCAGTAACTACACAGTAGTAAATAACGTGAACGAAGTATTTAGATCCTTTACGTAAAAGTAGCAATACTATGCATTGTCAAATAAAACAACCCACTACAATTCTACAGTTCTGCAATAATGATATATTAATTAATTTAAAGTACAGTAGTGTCATCATCCAAATGTACTCAGGATATCAAAAGCAAAAGTACTCATTATGTAGAATGGACCCTTTCAATATGTTCTATGATATTCTGTTGGATTATTTAACAGTTTTACTGCATTAAATTGCACTATGTATTTTAGTGTTGTAGGTGGTCGAGTTGACTCTTATTTATTTATAATAGAATGTGAACTATCTGAAACTGAAGTAGTAACTATACAGCTGTATGGTGTCACTGGACTTTTCTAACTGTCACGATCAATAAATCTAGTAGAGAAAAAATACCTCTTGAATTCCCCTTGTAATGTAGAGTAGAAATAGGCTATAAGGTGGCATGGATTGCTCAAATAAAATACACATACCTCAGAACTGTACTTAAGTGCAGTACGTGATTAAATACTGTAATTGTACCTTACCCACCTCTGCAGAGTGCAAATTATAATAAAAAACATTAGTTGCACCACTTCTTCACATATCATTGTTTGTGTTGTGTAGCGCCCCCGTGTGGGCAGATTAATTTAATGTTGTAAGATGTTATTCTCTTCTTCACTCATGTCCCCTCCACCAGGAGGGAGCAAAGTCATATGTCGAGTTTAAGTGCTGTAGGAAATCCTATTGAAACTTTGAAAGGAACGGCATCGTGTATTGTGTAAATTAAATGTTATATGACTGTCAGCTAAGCAGACATGTGTGGCTGTTCATGCGTGTTAAGCTTTTTTTCTAGTAAATAATACAGCTCTTTGCACAAAGAAGAGTATTTAGAGTTTATTGACACAAAAACTTTAAAAACATAAAACATCAATGTTTGTCAATTCTTATGCCTTTCTTCAACTTCTGTGCATCTATTTGCATACGTTTTAAGTAAAAGCTACTAAAACCATGTAGCATTAATAGAGTTTGGTACAATGTTACACGTGAGACACAAGAAACAGGTCCCACTTCTTCAAAGGGACCCGTGCAGCGTGTCCAGCCAGCTGAAACGGCACCGCCCCGTACATATTGATTTGTACTGCCCTCCTGTCCGTACTTTCCTGAGGCAGTCCAGCCCCTCTTAAGGGAGGAGAAGATTGATTAAACGCCAGTTTTACTGCGTTGTCATGTTTCACAAGGAGTTCAGAAGCGCCGAGACCGCCCGACACCGCCCGACACCATCATTTCGTGCATGCACCCAGAGCCTGCAGAGTGCTGAAAGACTTTTTAATCCTTCTATCAAGTTTGCATTTCTAACCAGAATTCCTCACAAGGCAGTTCCCGTATGGTCTCTGATCCTCCATATCGTTTTCATGGGTGAACATCTTCTTTTGTAGCATTTGGAGTGTTTCTTGGTGCAAATCCTACTTGGTTTGTGAAGATGCAGCTCCCCACTGTCCTTGACGTTAATGTTGTGGACGTGCAGAAGAGGAGGAATCCCTCCAAACACTATGTAAGTTGTCTCCTCATCCGTTGTTTCTGTTATCATGTAGTTCAAGTAGCTATTAACTTCACAAATGTAGGCTCCATGCTAGCAGCTCTGTGGTTGGCAGCACTATAAGTTAAGTTCACCACTTTGTTCTGGACTGAAAAAGATCTAAAATATAATTGGATTCATTTGAATTTTTGCACAGACATTCATGGTGTCCAGAGGATGAATCCCAGTGGCTTTGGAACTGAATATCCCTCCTCTGCCAACATGAGATTTACATTTGTGGCTTTGAGTAAAATGTGGATAGATGGATGACATTTGACATAGTATCTGACTTTATGTCATTTAGCGCCATCAAACGGTCAGTATTTAAAGTTGTGTGAATTTGTAATTTTGTCTTATTTTTGACCCAATTCTTGCAAAACTAATGACATTTCATTAGCCTCAATTGTATTTATGCTAAGCAGCAAACATTAGCATGCTAACACTGTAAACTAAGATGGTGAACTTGATAAACATCACACCTGCTGAACACCGGCATGTTAGCATGGTCATTGTGAGCATGTTAGCATTCAGCACAAAGAACATCCTGACCACAGAGCTGCTAGCATAGTTGAAAACTTTAAAGAAACTGAACTGAAAATCATGTCATCCCTTTTTTGCAGTCAAAAAAATATTGTCAACGTGTTTTTAAACTGTATTGTCAATAGTATTTTATGATTAAATGGAAGAAAAGTGTATTATGGGAAATGTCTGGAGTGCTTCTTTTTGCAGATGGATGGGTGTGGGTCATTGTCTGTGTTTGGCGGACAGAAGCTGGCAGGCTGAATTCAACAAACTGGAGCTGTAGCTCACAAGCCAGTGGTGGTATTGAGTAATGACCACACCAGCATTCAAACGGACCTAAGTGATATTTGCGGGTACTTTCACATGTGACGTTAGTTTAATGTGCTGCAGCTGACCAGCTAATTTGCTAATATGACAGTAGTGTTGCACTTTCCCCCTGTGACTGTTCACTTGTTCAACAAGCTAAGGTGCAGGACAAGACATGTTCATGTTTGAAGGTTGGATGAAAAGGAGACTTTAGCAGGAAAAGCTAATCTAGGTTGTTGTTCAAAGTTTGTGGCTCTTATTGTGCTCTTAGCAGGTTGCTGTCTCGCTGTTAGTGTGACTATGATGGAACAGTTTTGTTTCTGCTTTATCCATAGTTTAGAGGTGCAACGCCTAATCAATTAATTGTGAACTATTAGATTAAAACTGTTTTTTAAGAAAAGGTATCTCACTCCAGCCTCTGAAATGTAGGCTAAATGTTTTCTGATTTCAGTTATCCTCTATCGCGGTAAACTGACTATTCGCATTGTGTCATCTTGGACTTTGGGGAATCTGATCGACATTTTTCTGACATTTTTTAAACTAAACAACTAATCGATGAATCCGTCCATCGTCAACCGCTTATCCTGCGTACAGGGTCGCGGGGCTAATCGATGAATCAACGGCTTAATTGACAATGAAAATAGTCATTTTTAAAGCCCTACTTTGGGTTAACATTAAGTAATATAATTGGCTGGATGGAAACAAGTTCTCCATCTATGGAGACAGGGACCTAACACTGACACTGGGTGACCTCACAAAACCAAGAAATTTAAAACATTATTCTCCCTTTTGTTTTTCTAAGATAACACAGAATGTCATTTACAGAGCAGATATTATTGCTAACAAACAAGCAATTTAATTTTAGTTTGTAGTGAGAAAGTATTGCAGATCAACACCAGCCCTAGTCACATCACTATCACAACATCAAGCTGACAGCAGTTATGCAAGTATGTAATACACAAAGCATACTCTCTGCACGCCACACAAAAAATTTAAAAATAAATGATTTGGACTGCATTGGACAGACGCCTGCTGAGAAGCTGCAGCAAAATATTTTAAACCTTTTCTCATGATAGAATGAAGAAGGTCATGTCTGCTCTCGCAAACTACGAGCAAACAATAAGCTCCTGGAAATTACTGTTTTTCTCCAAAGCAATTTTGTTGAGGATCAACATATCAGATTGGGCTCCTGTATTGTCTCCCACATGACATACATGTCATTTGGTCGGAATCCGTGTAACAGAAGCAGTTCTTTTACATAGCAAGGGTCAAATTGATCTAGTTTTCTGGAGGGAATGTGCCATCCTGCCGTCTTCACACCCATATGAGAAACAGGTGCTAGTTTTGCTTTGGCCAGACACATGCCCATGTAAACATCATCAATGGGAATCATAGGAATCGACTGGGACATCCTGTGTATGACCAAAGCTGTGTAGAAAGACATGATGAAGCCCCCACCGCCACAGTAAGGGGGATATAAGTTTGACTTGTATACCTCCAATGGAACATAATACTTGCTCTTTGATGATCTAATTGGACCCACACGTCTGATGAGATGGCCAGTAAAGAGGTGCCTCCTTCCGTCATTATTCTTGAGGCCTTGGAGATACTCAACCGCATTGTTGGTGTTGACAAAGACGTCATCATCGCCATTTAGCAGGAAGTGAATGTTCTGACAGTTTCTTTCCATCCAGTCTAAGAAGAGTATCTGCTTCAAGGTGAGGTTTAAGAATGATTCGTTAAAGTCCCATTGTAGAATGTCATTGTGCTCCTCTTGCTCCAGAGCGAGGAGTTTATTCAGCTTCGTTTTCCCCAAACCAGTACCCGACGTTCCTGAGATGAAGATCCTCTTGATCCACACACCATTGTGTAACCGCTCTTGAGCCCAGGTTTTACGCAGCACCTCTCGGCGGTCGTAATTTAAAGGGGGGCTTTTAATGACCAGCAGAAGAAAGATGTCTGCAGATTCATCAGCTCGTCCACATTTGTCAGGGATGTCCAGTAGCATTGGGAAATGGCGACAGTGATTATAGTAGAGAAAGTCTTTAATCCTATCAGGAAGAAAGCTGAAGCCCGGGATTTTGTCAGCAGAAAGATTTTTATCACATCTTGGCAGGGATGTGTTTATGGTGGATGCCTTTCTTTGACTGCCATCGTACTCCCCATTTTCTTGGAGTTGAATGGCTTTGTGGTCATCAAAGTCTTTACAGAGATAAAGAACAATTAGAAGTGCAAGCACTAATGTTCCTGCTTTGAGTTTTCTCCTCCTTAAAAATCTGCAGTGAAAAATAAAAGTTTTCTCATGAACACATCATTATCAACAGTCTGACACTGGCAGGTAAATTAACACAGTCTACATTAAGATGGGTACAGTTAATTTTACACCATAAAGAACTTCATGATTAAATGTTATTTCTAATGCAGAACAATACACAAAATCACATATGGAAACAAAATTCTGTTATTGAGCTGATTTTATGAGGAGCTGAGTGCATTTTAAAGAGGTCATATTTTGCTCATTTTCAGGTTCAAAATCTTATTGAGGGGTTGTACCAGAACAGGTTTACATGGTTTAATTTTCAAAAAACATCAAATTTTTTGAAAAATACTGCACATTGCTGCAGCTCCTCTTTTCACCCTGTGTGTTGAACGCTTCGTTTTAGTTATCGAGGGATACATCTTATCTCTACAAGATCTTTGTTGGGAGTTGAACTTGCGCAATTCCTAGTTAAGGACTACTAGCCAATCAGAAGCAGAGTAGGACTGGCAATGTCCTCAAAAACACCAGTGAAAAAACTGGTGTTTTTGAGGGCATGTCGGACTAGCTGCTTGGCGAGCATTATGACACACATTTTGCTGTGTTGTAATCTGAATGATTAACAGGACTTTTTTTATTGTCTATCACGGCTATTGTTAAAGTTATTAGTTACCCAAAAAGTATTTGTTTGAGATTGAAATGATTAAAAAACTGCTTCGTTAAGAGAAGAGAGACTGTTGTCATGGACATTTTTTAACAAGTTATATTAGCACAGCCACAGCCTAGCTCTGCTCTGTGACCTGCTGAGCCTCCCTGTTTAAGGAAAGTTGCCTTGTGTAACCGGTGTGTGACACAGACCAGCAGATATGTTGTGGGAAGTCTCTCTCTGTGTGTGTGTGTGTGTGTGTGTGTGAGAGAGATAAGTACCAGCAGGAATAGTTAAGTTATTCTATTCAGCCGTAAAGTGGCTACTGAAAGTATTGTCTTAGCTGTCACAGAGGAGAAATAGAAAGTCCCTGTTCATGTAAGGTACATGTCGCCAACAGTGTGCAGAGCCAATGCAAATCAAAATGTGGTCAGTCAACTTATGTGTTGTGGTGGTTAGTTTACGGAGAAGTAGGCATATTTCAGCAACCTGCCTGTGGCGTCTGACCTCCATTTATTTTATTCACCAAGTATTTGGTAAGCTAATTATGGACACTGATGTGTGTAACAGTTAATCTGGCAAAAAGGCTGTTCTCTGTGCCTCAACAAAACAGAAACTGACTAGGCTAATTTACCTTTTCCGTCTACAAATTTCAGACCTCCTACTAGGAAAAAGTACAATAAAATTCTACTCAAAGTCGGAGTCCCTAAACTCTGGGGCAAATCAATCTACCCCAGCTTGATGAAGAAGCAGGCGTCTGACGTCACACAACGGCAGCACCATTAAAGCGCATATTGTAAATGGTAACTCATCAACTAAAAGGCAACGTAAAGTATGTTTGCCTGTATTTAATCAGTATAATGCATACTAATGAAACCTGTTCTGCACATAAATTGATGGCAAAATATGTTGCCAGTGGTTATGCTAAACAATCTCTGAAAGTTATCTTCTCTGCACAAAAAGCACAGGCTCAGCTGAGATGATGCATAGGGAATCAGATGTTTGGTGATATGTCATCTCAGACATTTGGAAAATTTAACACCGGTAATCTCAGACATTTAGTCATCAGGGAGAAATGAAGCACACCATTTGTTCAAACAGGTTGTTCTTAAAATAGTTCATCCCTTTTCTCCGTATCACATAATGATGGTGCTGCTTTGAAGTTTACCTGACACACCTAAAGAAAGAACTTCCTCTTTATCTAAAAACACAACATTACCTGTATGCCACCTTTCTTTAAAGACCCTTTCAACTTTTTAAAGAAAACATAATGAAGTAGGGGTAGTGGATAAGACACATGCCTTCGGTGTGAGAGACCTGGGTTTAACTCCCCACTGTGACACCCTGAGCAAGACACTTAATTCTAAGTTGCTCCAGAGGAGTGCGACCTCTGACATAAATAGCAATTGTAATCTGCTTTGGATAAAAGCGTCAGCTAAATTAATAAATGTAATTGTAAATGTAAGTATCAGACTGGGTGTAATATCCTTCTAATTAAATATCCTGCTCAGCTCATTAACACAAGTCTGTGACAGCAAAGACTACACATTTTACAATAATAATGAAAGAAACCACAGAAAGTAGCCTGCAACTAAGGCAACCTTCATTCAATATTATAATATTACCTGGACATATTTGCAGATCAGTGTGAGTATCCCTTTGGTAGTCAGTTGTCAGTGTGATTGCTGGAGTAGTTGAGGTAAAAATGATGCACATGCTTCCTTGTTGGTCACATTATTTACAGAGTATAGCCAGTCAGGCAACCCCTATGCAAAGGCAGAGTCTGCCTCCAACAAATTACAAATTCAAAAAGTTTGTCAATAGATATTTGACGTCAGAGGTGGTTCGTCCTGCTTGGCTAAGATTAAAGCATGTGGAACTTGCTGGATGAGAAATGCAGAGACAATACTTTGGGAACTGTTGCTACCAAGATATGCCTGGTGTAAAGAGAGGATCAACCGTTTGTCAGGGTCTATTGCCAGTCATATAATTGATTAATTGTTTTTCAGCATGAGTTCTAGCGTGTCACATAGGGATGTCTGCTAATTCAGGCTTGTCATTTCAGAGAGAGGTGAAAAAAGTTGTCAAGTAGACGGTGAGTTGCTTTTCATGTTCCCTGGCTGAACATAATTGGCTGTTTTCAATCTCTGCTTCCCTTTTTTTGTCTCAAAGACTGGAGTATTCCGGTCATGACTCTTACACGTAGGGATGAAACGGTATGAAAATTTCAATATCACGATTATAAAAATTATAACGGTTATCAGTATTATCACGGTATTGTAAAAATGTGCCAAAAAATATTAAAATGTACTGACACACACACACACAATTTCAACAAGTTTTATATAGAAAACTACAAATACAATTGCCATTTTGTTTGCATAAAAAATAACAGCAAATACCTTTTTGTAAACATGAAAATCATCTAAGTGTGCATCATCAAGATCTTATTTTATATTACATCGGTAATACAATGACCCTGTAGACAATTACATGAAAACAAATGTCTTTAGAAAACAGTGATAGTAACTGCAATGAGCCCAAAAACTGACATAAATACAGAGGAGTCTGTAGCGTTTCTAGAAATGCTGGTTGGTTGACTAAACTGCATAACGTGTTATCATGTGCAGTGGACGAATAGGCTCAACAGCTACAGAACAACGTGTAGCGTTTTTACAAGAGCGGCTAACACAGAGAGCTTCACTTTACACGCTGCTGGCAAGTCGGAGAGACAAACCAAAGCTAAAAGTTAACTCACCCTGCGTTCACTATAAGGTTATTTTCTTAAATGAAGTTTCGACCGGACGGACTTCAGAGTGACTGAAAAATCTCCGCAGCGCCGTGCTTCTGGGAGACCCCGGACAATGTTTGCCGTGAGATTATAACCGCACCCGGTTACCATGGTAATTAAAATGTGTACGGTAATATTAACCGCTGATTAGGAAATGTTAGCATGCTAACATGCTAAACTAAGATGGTGAACGCAATAAACATTATAAATGTTAAACATCAGCATGTTAGCATTGTCATGTTGGCATTTAGCACAAAGCACTGCGGTGCCTAAGGACAGCCTTACAGAGCTGCTAGCGTGGCTGTAGACGTGTCGTTTATTTATTTATTTTTGACTGCATGGCCTGGTCTTGGTGTTATCTTACTGACTTGAGTAATCAAATCAGATGAGCCACAAGACATGTCTCAGCGGGGCTGCAAAAATCAATTAGCCCATCAGGTACATTTGGATTAATGAATGAGAGTTGGGATCAATTTCATCATCCATCTCCTGCTGAGGGAGGCTCCCCAAGGCCACTAAACGCAGGGCACAGACTTTCCCCTGGGATGGAAGCCGGAGGTGAGGGTTGACTGGGAAGTCCCCATGAGGGAAGGGAAGGGGGAAAAAATCTCATTATCTATGAGCTAAGCAACTGAAAATGCTTATCCGGTTTGAGAGAGGAAAGAAGCAACCCTTTGTCTTTTGTCCCCACTGTTCAATTGTGACTTCCTTCCAGGGACTCATGGCACTGGAGCAAGAGAGTGCATGGCAACTTATCCTTGTTTACATACATTGCTGGAAGATAATTTCAGGAGAGATGAGATCTGATGAGAAGGCTTCAGTTTGTACAACTTACTGCATGGACAACCTTGTTGGATACAGCTTTTAATATTTAGTTAAAATGAGAATTTAATGCAGATCAACCCAGACATAAATATGCATTCATATGTGGTGTTTACTTGTTTTGAATCCACTGTAAAGAATGTAATACTATTTGTATCAGTAATCACAATCAATTCCTGACTTTACTTTTAAGTGTTTCATAAAAAGTATACATTCATAAACTCATAACAATGTGCTAATCTCAGAAATTATATTGTTATGTTCAAACATAAACATGGCTCATGGTTCTTTTGGGACATATCTTGACCTCACACAGCCTCACTTTGAGCCATGCTGTTGCCTGAGTGTTTGGTCATGCTGTCTGTATCTAATTAGCGAGCTGCTGGAGAACTCGTTCCGCCTCCCTGCACACTCTTTCTGTAATGAACTGTGTGCCGAATGAAGGCTGCATTTCAAACTAGAAACTGATGTCCTTGCATATTGCCACCATATGTGTAAATGCTGCTTTTGTAAACACTCTGGTCCTTGTGCTTAGATGGAAATGCATTAGGTACAGCCATCTGTTTCTGAACCTCAGGGTGTGCACAATTGTTTGTTGTTGCCCTTTTTATTGTTGAGGCAAATTTATTTTGGACTTACTTCCTACAACACTGTTTTGTTCTGTAAATGTCTGCCAGGGAAACTATATTCCCATTTCAGTTTCTGTGAGTAAACACTTCTTCCCTGTCATTATTCCTGGTGATGGACAGGAGCACTGGAAGTTGTTGACATAATGGGAGCATTTGTTCACTCAGACCGTGGACTCAGGTGGCCATTACAAAAGTGAAATGCAAAGATGTTGCGCTGCTGCGTTCTGAACCATTTGTAGGGGTTTCACCACACAAGCTGGAAGACCCGCTAGGGCGGCATTGCAATAGTTGAGGCGAGCGGTAACCATGGCCTGTACCTGAAGCTGGGTGGCATATTGAGTGAGGTAGGGCCTGATTGTGGCCTGATGTTGTATAGAGCAAAGCAGCACGACCAAGAGACCGCAGCAACATGGTCTGTAAAGGACAGCTGATCATCAATCATGACACCCAAGTTTCTCACCACCCTGGTTGGAGTGATGGTTGAGGAGCCAACTTGTAGTTTGATGATATGGTGGATAGATTGCTTGGCTGGAATGACCAAGAGTTCAGTCTTAGAGAGGTTTAGTTGAAGGTGGCAAGCCTTGAGAAGAGTAGCGGCCCTAGCACTGAGCCTTGGGGTACCCCTGTGAAGAGGCAGTGGGAGGATAATTGTCAGTACCACAAAACATTGTAGGAACGCCCCGAGAGGTAGGATTCGAGCCACAGGAGTGCTTTACCCGAGATGCCCATTGCTGAGAGTGCGGATAGGGGGATCTTGTGATTGACTGTGTCAAAGGCAGCTGATAGGTCCAGCAGGATAAGAACCGAGGATTGCGCTGCAGCTTTAGCTGACCTTAGGGCTTCTGTTACAGACGAAATGGCCGTTTAAGTAGAGTGGCCACTCTTAAAACCAGACTGATATGGATCTAGGAGGTCGTTCTGTGAGAAGAATTCTGAGACCTGTTTGAAGACTGCCCATTTGATAGTTTTGAATAAAAATGGTAGAAGAGAAACTGGCCGATAGTTCTCAACTTGAGTTTGGTTGAGTGAGGGCTTTTTAAGCAAGGGTGTAACCTGAGCCCTTTTGAAAGAGGTCAGGAAGGTTCCTGAAGCCAGAGAAGTATTTATCACATGAGTGATTGCAGGGACCACAGTAAGAGATATGGCTTAGAGGAGATTCGTAGGAATCAGGTCCAGTGGGCATGTAGTGGGACGGCTATGGGTCAGGAGTTCTGATACTTCACTCTGCCCGTTTACTCCTGTCACGGAGAACGAAGTGCCATTGTCCTGGGAGGGCAGAAGAACAGATGTAGTAGGAATGCTACATGTTAGCCTTGGTGTTGAGCCTTTTGCGCCATTTCTCGAGGGAGATGGAGGGAGATGTGTATAAGGACTGCTACATGATAGGTTTTCCTGTGCTGTGCTCACACAGTGGGAGCTGACCAGGGCGGGAATAGAATTGTTGATTTTGAGAGATTTAGAGAATTGGCTAGTTATAGCTGCCACTTTGCCTGTGAAGAAGGCAGCAAAGGTATCAGCAGACAAGTTTGTGGGTGGAGGATTTAGTAGCGTTTTAAAAGTGAAAAAATAATTTCCTTGAGTCAATGGAACTGCTTATTCTGTCATTATAGAACGCAGTTTTGGTTGCATTGATGCTTGTTGAGAACACAAATATAATTAATTATAAATGGTTTCAATGACATAATATTTGAACTGTTTTTGACCCCTGATGGCTTTCCAATGTGTGATGGAAACAAATGAACTTAATTTGTTTATTTGACCTTCAACGACCGCTTGAAGTTAAGTTAGGAGGAATGCACTTTGTGTCATTAGGGCAAGTCAAGCTAAAGTGGTGCCCTGGTATCTTTGACAAAGTGACTTTGTTCCTAATGGACCTGTTCTGTTTGCCCTTCTCTCACTAGGTATACCTCATCAACGTCACTTACTCAGACTCTACTTCCCATGTCGTCTACAGGAGATACAGCAAATTCTTTGACCTACAGGTATGTTATCTTGGTAAATTATCTAAATACATCTACAGTCACTTAGTCCATGAGCAGCATCAGTTCTAAATATTTTAATTGTGTATGAGAGTGAATGTCTTCTCTTCATATCAAACTCTGTGAGGTCAATTTGACCCTTTGTTCAGCTGCTGGAAGGCGCTATGCACAGTAAAAGGTCTCATTTAAGACTACTGGAGCCTGCTTGGGGAAAAAGGGAAATGGGGGAAATCCAGTCTGCAGATGTGGGAAGAAAAAACAACCTCAGTCAAAATGCAGAATAAAGCATGGGGCAAAGTTATGCCTAAGGATTTTTTTTTCAGGGATCCGGTAGCCTCAAGTGAAATCTCTGTATTTTAACAGTAACAGTTCAACACGTTTACATTTTAACCACACAGGGCTGAATTGTCTCTACTATAGTTTGTTCAAAGCATCTAGTAGCTGAAGCAATGGTGTGAGGGGTTTAAACCTAAATCAGTGCATACCTTATCCTTACCTTATGGCTTTTTCTGTTAAAAGATGCTCTTGCTCTTCT